TTTTGTGAACCAGTTTTGACATTGGCGTACTGCCAATGCTAATACATGTTCGCCATACACATTGGATTTTTTATTTTTCTTGCTTGAACAGCATTTTTTTTATACAAAAACGTAAGCAAAAAGATGGCACTTTCAATATTTGAATGGGGACCGACTAAACACGGAATTAATCAAACTTTTTAAACAAGCAAGGAAGCAAACCTTCCGAAATCAGCTGTGAAAATTTAGAATGATTATGCAGTTTAAGTATGAAATTGCCTGTGAGCTGTGAATACAATTAAATCCTCTGTTGGACAAAAACGAAATTATTTTCCGAGCAACCTAATATTTCTAAAATTTGCTAAACATCTGTAAAAAATTTTTAACTTCTTTCTTTATTATTTTTCATGATTTTAAATCGATGATGATTCAGGAAAATTTTCTTTATTTGTCTAAAATACTGAGAGGGACTTCGAACGATTGAGGGAGCATTCGACCCGTCATCCCCCCCTCCTATCAACGAAGCCCATTTCCACCGCAGTTTATTTTAATTATGATGCGATAACTGCAAGCAACATAGTGTGGGTATATCGATGATGTTTGGTTGTTGAATCGTTTCAGTTGTTTAAGTTAGCAACTGTTCTTTCCATTATATTACGAGTTAGCCAAACTCATCAACTATAAATTCTCTTAAGTGTTGCATTCTATAATCTTTGATAAAGATTTATTCTTTCTCTATATATTTCTTACCTAACACAAAGGCAGGCATGATACCATATAGAACATAAGCAAACCAATTACGCATCGAAGTTGCCTGGTACGCACAACAAAAATATATCACGGTTTCAATAAAATATCTTAACAAATAATAAATATGAGAATGAATTATATTTCAACAAATTTGATGTGCGATACGTCGTTGTATTTAATTAACTTCACGTTAATTAACATTCTAACTTATGTGGAGAAACTTTAACACGTCATTTTGCTTATTAACGATCAGCTGGTGCTTCTCGAAGTGTAAGTACCCAATTGTGACGTCAGCCGTCATCACTAACGAATCCATTCCTCGTCAATGATGCACACAATATATAACTATAACTTATGTTTCGAATGAGTATATCTTACAAAAGCGTGAGTATATCTAACAAAATTAATAACAAAAACAAACAAAATGACATATCAAGAACGAAAATTGGGTACTTGTAGGTTATTCTAGGGATCACGGAACCAAGTTCCAACAACACCAGATTATGGTTTGTACAGGCTACCAACATCGTTGTATCCAATATAATATGGCATTCATTAATAACAATAATTTAAAACTTCGCGATTATTAACTATAATTATCAAATACGAAATATCACGAATTTTTTTTCTCGATAATTTAAACATATAAAAATATAAATTCGCTTGTATTGTATATTAATGATAACTGTTATGGAATAGAAAATTCTTGTGAATGCTGAGAAATTTCATTTCTGTAACGGAAACATTGACCAACGTAGAAATAATTTAAGTTTGGTGTATTATAGTGGAAAAATCCCATGCAATCGCGATACTAAAATTTGGTATTTATCACTGGTTGCAGAAAATTCTAAAAAGGGATCGTGGTACATGGTCCATGTAACCGATAAATACTTTGGTAATGATGAAATGACCCATACCGGTAGAAAAAAAATGGTTAATTTCTACCATTTTTCGACTAGCTAAAGCACTCAAATATCTCCCGAAGCTCTGTGCTAGATAAAAAAAAAAGTTTCAATCGTTTATTGATCGTTACAAGCTGTTTTTGTCGTTGTAGTTCATTTACGTCGCTCTAGAGCTGCACAATGGGCTATTGGCGACGGTCTGGAAAACATCCCTGAGGATGATCCGAAGACCTGCCATCACAATTTTGACTCTCTGTAGAGGGGATGGCACCCCCGCTTCTGTAGCCCAACGACCTGCGCGTGAAGTCGAGCACTTTACGATGGAACCGTTTAACGAGGACCCATACCGCACACCCTCGGATTCTCCACAGACTGATCCAAGCAGTCACCCACCAGTGATGATTGACTTCGGGGATTTACTATCAACCGTGTCTTAACAATCAGTCCACTGCGGGACGATCGGTACAAGCAGAATTCATCGCAGTATTGTGAATAAAGATGTTGTTGTTGCTCATTTACGTCGCACTAGAGCTGCACAATGGGCTATTGGCGACGGTCTGGGAAACATCCCTGAGGATGATCCGAAGACATGCCATCTCAATTTTGATCCTCTGCGGAGGGGATGGCACTCCCGCTTCGGTAGCCCGACGACCTGCCCGCAAAGTCGAGCACTTTACGATAGAACAGTTTAACGAGGACCAATACCACACGCCCTCGGTCCCTACGCAGACTGATCCAATTGGTCACCCACCCGCACACTGACCGCAGCCAGTGATGCTTGACTTCGGTGATCTCCTGGGAACCGTGTCTTAAGGATCAGTCCACTGCGGGACTGTGAATAAAGAATACTGAAAGGAATTTGCCATCGTTAAAAATTAAGATGCAATTTACACTGCAATGCGATCCAGGCACTTCCGATCAGTGAAATATAAGAATTTGATGGGTGAGATTTTAGCTGAAGAATGTATTTTGATCTGGTTCTCATTATCCCTAGATAGCAATTGGAAGTGCATGAATCGCATTGCAAAAAGAATGGCCCTTTCGAACTTTCTGCCTTGCTCCAGTTCTCAAATTTAATTTAGAGTTCTGTGCTTAATTTAAATATAAATTATAATTCCTTATCAAAATTTCGATCACTTTCCAATAAGCAGTTGTAGTAGTACTTTATTTACGTCACACCAGAGTTTCACAATGGGCTATGGTCTAAGAAATATCCCTGATTGTGTTACGAAGATGTACCATCATAATTTCCATTCTCTGCAGATGGGATAACTCCACCGTTTTGGTAGAATAACGAACTGCGCGCGAAGTCGAGCACTTTAGGGTATGACAGATATTGCTCACCCTCGGTCCCTTTGCAGACTGATCACCGGCTCGCTGATCGTTGCCAGTGAAACTTGACTTCAGTGATGTACTGGGAAGCCTTGTCTTACGACCCATCTAAACAATACTCTTTCCAATCTAAACAAACCAAGAAAAAAGATTTTTAAAATTTTTTTTCTCTATATTTTAGTCCAAATTTTAATTTAAATTATTTTTTAAGCTGCGTTTTCAAAGTGGATTAAAAAGAAGGAAATAACTCTATCGTCTCCGTGAATCCTCCCACAAATCTCAAAATTAACGAGTCAAATATTTTTCGTTTTGTGACAAACAAAAGAGGAATTATTTTTTTCCTTTTAAAGTCCATTTGAAAAAGAAAAAAAATATTTAGAAATTTTATATTTCAGTATTTCGATATTTCAATTTGTAGATTAATTAAGTAAATTCTCAAATTATAAATAATTGTTAATTAAGAAAATTAGTAATAATCCTTGTAAATATATCCACTATTGCAATTCTAGTTATTTTTACGTACTTAAAAAAACTATTCCTGTATACTAGGGACAAAAAAGAATATTTTTTATTTTTTTATCCGTCATATTATTTGAATTAACGACTATCGAATAATCGACGAAAATTTAAAAATCTGCTTTATAAATAATGTGTTTGTCTTCCCCTGGAGAATAGAAATAATAAAATAGAAATTAAATGAAAATGGATGTACACTTATTCTTATTTCAAAAAGAAATACGGCATTAAAAATTATTATTTCACTAATTTATTATTATTCCACTAATCAGTTATCAATATATTCTCTTACGAAGTTCTTTTAAATTTTTTTTTTTGTACAATAAGTTTTAAAAAAAATGAAAGAATCGTGGGGGAATTTTGGAAATCAGATAAAACAGAGGTAAGTTGCACATTTTGTAGCTCGTGTAGGTGTGGATAAAAACAAAAAAAAAAAGTTTTAAGTTATTTCATTTCGAAGATTTGCTATGGTTAGGATTGATTGATGCAATGTTGCTCCAGCTTTTAAAAAATTAACTAAAAGTATTTCTTCTTCCAAAGAAGATGTTAAAATTTTTGAACACCGGTTAATATTTTTTATTGAATATGACCGGACCTACTCCGTTCGTAACGTTGCATCAATTAAGATGTTTCAGCTAACTGTACAATTAAACACTAAAAGTTTCGAAGAATTATTTATACTTATCATTTGAAGAAAACAGACACTGCACGGTGGATTTCATGCGTTTTTCATGTATGAAATAAAATATTTATTATTATTTTTTATTGAAAATTTTTCCGTTAAGGAGATTAATTTTAAGTATGTATATTTTGAGTAAACTAATTAATTAAGAAAACTCATTAACAATATTATCAAATGAAATTTAAAATATATTTTTTATTGGATTTAAAAAAATTATTGAACTTAATATTTAATCTTTAGAAAGGACAAAAAAGGAAGAAAAAACTTTTCAGTACAAATGACTCTTGAAACAGAACGGCAGAAACAAGAACGAACGCCTTCGAAATCGAAACCATGATGTGAAACTTTACGTCACTTCAGTTCAGTATTTTAATTAATTCATTTCTGCTCTTTGTTTATTAATAAAATACAGTTGAATAAACGCACACTTTTTTTTCTTACAGAAAGCATAAATTACTTTTTATAATAAAGAGAGAATAAACAGAAAATGAATTTGAAATAAACAAGTTATCAACAACTCAACAAAAAACCGGAAGTTGACGTTTTTCTGAGATGTCTGCTAAGATTCTTGTGAACGGTGGTTATCGGTCAAGGTTAAGATTTCTTTTATAAGTAAATGACATCATCAATAACCTCCTTGTTATTAAAAATTACTAACATTTTCCTTGTGCTTTAATGATGATGATCATTCTTTCAAGTTATAGGAGTGCCGTGTTCTTACAATCCACTTTTCTTTAACTTTTTTATTTTCATCTGGAAGGTTTGCATTTTCTTGGCCTATCCATATTCCGGTATTTATTCAAGTTTGTATATTTGTGTCATTAAAAATTAACTGTCATACAGCTGTGCTTATTTTTTTAGATCGGATAAATCCTTTTTTGCTTATATATTATCGTTAGATCATCTATTTTTATTTGCTTTATCTAGAAGACGACAATAACAAAAGCAACCGTCATACACTAAAATAACTTGCTCGTGCGTTTGATTTGGCGAAATATCTTTTTCAATAGATCATAAATCAGGATATTATAGAGTTGTCTTTCATGGATAGAATTGTCTGAAATTTTTGCGACGAACGTTTTATGAATTTAGTTCACTGAATTAGAAATTTTGATGTAAACTAGGTACTGGATTGACTTCAGTGCATTATTTATTGTAAGTAGTTGATAACTTTCTAAATACCTGATGAAACAGTGATCACTCAATGGTTTTGTACTTTGTTATTTGTCAAAAAAGAAATACTGTTACCACTACATTTCTTGCTTTTAAAGCAAATTCATAGTACAAATTTTAATAATATTACAATGTGCTCCAAAAAGTAAAAAATAGCATTTTATATTAGGTATAAATTAGAGTTTTATTCCAGGTGAAGGGGATATTTCTGTATCATGATCTGTTGTGCTAATTATAATGGATTTTTAATGTGCAAATTTAAAAAAACAAACAAAAACATGTTGAGATTTTCTAAGTTGGTCCCCTTTTGTGATGTTTTTTATAGTTTCTATGTCGGTTGCTGCTCAGAAGGGACCAAGACTTGGCAATTATTCTGTGGAGATTTTCCCACCAGAAACTTGTTAAACCGAAAATCAGCTTAGTGACTGACTATTTTCATTCGATTTAAAGTTCATTAAAGTTGAAAATAGTATTCACTAACCACTATATTTTTTAACTTTATTTTTCATTCAATTTAAATTATTTTTGCAATATTCTACTGCCATATTCAAATTAAACTAATAATGAGTTTTTAATAATAGATTATATAAAGTTATGATGAGTATTCTCATTGATTTTGATTTAACTCTTTCCATCCCAATGCTCCTCAAATGCCCAGCCAATTAGATATCTAAGGTGGGGCTAGAGTTGTAACGGGCTTTTCTTCCCCTAGATGCACAGCGGAAATGAACCACAGAGTCATAAAAGTATGGTGGCTTCTTAAGATATCTGAAATCTGGGAAATATCAATATATTTAAGTTTTGTTGTAGGACTGGATAGTACTTTTCCTTAGTGCTTAGGTGGTAACTCTGATTTCCATTACCAGAAACTGGAACTATATTTTTTCTATTCCTAAAAAAAATTTCAAAAAAGGTTACTTATTCAAAGATTATTTAAATAAAAAATCTTTTTTTCACATATTTGAATGTATTTTATTACAATAGTCTTGCCATAATAACACTTAAACCGAGCATTGACGATCAAAATGGGCTACGCTACAAGTGGCGGAGCAGAACTCTCTACCTATGGCAACACTTTACATGCTTTCACCATTAGTGTGTGGAGAGTCATGAGAGAAGGAAGAACGTTAGTTTCTCTCTTGATTTTCAAATAGATTCAAATTTTTTAAGTTAGAAAACTGTATGGAACTGAAAACTACTTTAAACATAGTTCTAAAAGAAAGCGTCATGAAAATTAAAAAAAATATCTTTAGTAATTCAATTCGAAAAATATGGAGAAAAGGAAAAATATCCTAGTACACTCCTATACAACTGAAAAGAGAAGGGTTAAAGGCAGGGAACCGGTCTTCAACCTAGATGGCGTATTCAAGTGTTGCGATGGCCTATAAAATTTGATATTTCTGTGGGGCGGGGGAATAATTGCGAGAGAAATTGTTAAGGAAACTTTCCTGAACAAAATTTTGAAAAAGGGAAGCATACATTTTTTTTCACACTGTTACTGGAAAACTGGTTACACACCCAAAAATGGGTTTTTACTAAGAATAACTCCTTGGAAAAGTGATACGTGATGTCATCAGAGCCGGATTATACCTTTCGTAGGCCCTAGGCATAGTCGTTTTTGGGCCCTCCTTCCCCCACTCCTCCCCTCTTTTCAAAATATATGCTGAAATTTTCTTGCATGCTTTTTTTTTTTACACTTTTATTAATATGGATTTTAATTTACGAATTTGTTTATCGAACTTTATCTGCAGTACCGACAAGTGTAATGCATAAAGTAAGAGAAAAAAGAAAGGTACTCCTAACTTCAAAGAGAAGAAAAAAAAAATGGTAGAAATATAACATTTAAAAGAATAAAAAATTTACAAGTTTAGACAAGAAAAACAAGTTTAAAAAATACAAAATTCTCATATTTATTTTTTAAAAATAATTACAATTCCTAAATTAACTTATATAAACAAAACCANCTGCCCGCCTCTCAAGCAGGGAAGTGCTTTTATTTCATAATATCTAAATTTCTTATTGTTTTCACATTCAGTAAAGATGGCTGATCACATTGCACTGGAGAATATGGATTCCAATATAACTGATGGTGATTCTGATTATGAAGATTTGCCTTCCCCTGATTTTGAGATTGAGGAAGTTGATGAATCTTGTAACAATGAAGGTATGCATTTTTTAAAAAATTTTATATTGTAAAAATTAATGTTTAAGATCATGATTCTCGAAGAAACTTATTTCTTCCAGGACAGAATCTGGACAAAAATGGAAGAAACCAAAAATGTCATATAAATTCTTTAGCAATATGTAATTATAAGAATAGCTTGAATTAAAATAAATTATTTAACTTAATACTAGAAAATTAGGAGTTTTTCTCATCTATTTTTTAAAGAAATACATATTATGTAAGAGTGAGTTGGATACTTATCAGTGTTTGATTATAAAAATTAGTATGCTATTTGTAATTGTGAATTCAATAAGTGATTCATAATAGTGAATATATTTATAATGTGATGGGTTAATTTAATTGTACAAATAAAATTTTGATTTGAGAAAAGTTTTTTAATTAATTATAAAATTGAGTTTTATAACACTCATTCTTGTAAAATGTTGGAGAATTACATATATTTTAGTTTCTTCAGAACTTTATGAAATAAATTTTTCTTTATAATTGGTATTTAGTATTTTTCACTTACTTAAAAATGAGTTTGGAAATTAAACAGCTTAGAAATTGATATTATTATTTTAACTTGATTGCACCTATTAAAAAAAATTGCTTTATTACATAATTACATAAATTATTATTATTATTATTATTATTATTTTTGAAATGGAGTTTGTTTTACTTTTTCCACTTAAGTTCTATGAAATCTATTTCTTCCAAGGCAATTTTTTCCATGGCTTCCTTGCAGTTTATTTTCACTATGGAAGAAACTTGCCATCCCAGGTTAAAATTTAACAAAATATCACCTCCTTTTCTGTAATTTTATTTTCTGTTTGCCTAACTGATAAATAGATATCATTTGCTAAACAGCACCTTATTAAAATGTTCATATTTTAGTTAATCGTTAAATAGACTTTTTTTTAAATATTGATATACTTCTTAAAAAATCAATGTTTTTTTTTAACAGGTCTTAAGAAAATGAATTTTTCTAAAATTCATGATACTCCAGTAAGCTTCAAAGACCCAGAATTAAACATGCTGATACCAGGTTCTTCCATCAATGTAAAGATTATAGATATCGAACGTAGTCCATCAACACATATGATCAACCCTAACCTGTAAATATTTAATATATTGTTTCGATGTATTAATATATTTTATGTTTCTTTTTTCACTTAGTTGTTATTTGTATTGCTTTAGGTATGTATTGCAGCTACAACATGGTCCTTATCAGTGGATTGTTAAGAAACGTTATAAACATTTCCAACACCTACACCAACAACTTCGCCTTTTCAGAACAACTCTCTCTATACCTATTCCAACAAAAAAGTATTTACTTTTAATTTTATATATTTTAATTTATACACACGATAAATCCCTGATTATCTTAGCCCTGATTCTAAAACAAAATATTACAAGTAATTTTTTCACTAGAAGTGATTCTGTTATACTTTATTTTGTCGACATAGGATTCTGTCTCATTATACTATGTTTGTGTGAGGGTTTTATTGCATGATTCTTTGTCCGTGTGAGATTATATTATCATACATTCTTTTTGCATATGATCTGCCATATGCTTACTATACATTTAATTTTTGATTTGCTGTATGTACCCTACATATATATATATGTATATATTTATGATCTGATGTTTGAATCATAGGATTTTTTCTAAGAAATATGTACCTATGTTAGAACAAAAGAAATTTATGATAAAAATAAATAAAATAAACAAAAGTATTAAATTAAAAATTTTTTTTTTACCATTTTTAATTATTATGACTCTGATATCTCTGCTGGAGAAAACACTCAATTTGGCTTTCAAAGCTTTGGCAGCCTGGACAGTAGACAACGAATTCAAGGTTAACTCAGAAAAGACAAATTTTGTACTTTTTACCCTTATTATCAAAAAGTTTAATGTTAATTTGGTATACAAAAATAGTACTCTGGATTGGACCGATTGTGCTACCTACTTGGGCATAACTCTTGATACCAGACTGACCTGGACTAAATACATAAATCAAGTGGCAGATAGCATGACGAATCACCTTGGTCTATTGAAACGTCTCACTGGAATAAAGTGGGGTTCATCCCAAAGTGCCCTTGCTTCCACTTTTACTTCTTACATTAAGCTAGTATTTGACTATGGTTAAGAAATCCTTGTTACTGCCTCGAACAGTGCGTTATCAAAACTCGATTTGGTTCAAAATAAAGCACTAAGACTTGTCACTGGTTCTGCGATTTCAACCCCTATTCCTGCCATGCAGCTAAAGACAGAAATTTATAATTTATCTGACATACGAACTTATGCTGCCATTTCTTTTGGTGAAAGATTGTTGAGAAAGGAGCACTTTTGGCCGTACTACATTCTTCCTTAAACTAGACTTAAATCTCAACATTCTTTTCTTTTTGAGTGCCGGAGACTTGCAGAGATTTTTGAGGTCTCCAACTCCAAACTTTGAATTTATAGGCTGCCTGTTTTTGCGGGCCTTCTGAGATATGCCAATGCCAGATTTGACTTGGTACTGCCTGTCCGGAAATCGGCCATCCACCAGACCGAGTTGTATCCTATTGCTCTGGCCACTATACACGAACCCTTGCCAGGAATGGGTGCAGGTTTTTACTGGTGGATCCGCCACTTTTTCAACTGGTAGAGCTGGAGCCGGTGCTTACTCTAAATATTTTCAGCCTTAGAGAACCTCTCCACACTTGGGCAGATAATTTTAATGGAGAAATGTTTGCAATCCTTATGACTTACAGCTATTGGTGAACCATCTGAACAAAACATTGTTATCTTTGTCGATTCTCAGGCTGCAATTCAGACCATTTCTGAATATAATTTATACCCCTCTGAACTTGAATTTAAGTCTGAACAACCTATCGAATCTCTTCTTTGTTCTGGAAGAGAGGTAGTCCTCCAGGGAATCCCTGGCCATTGTGGCATGTACGGAAATGAACAGACTGACATGTTGGCTAGAGAGGCTTCAGCATTGCACCCACCTTCTCATCCAGTTCCCCTTAGAAAGGCAAAGCGGCTTCTTAAGATCCAATTCAGACACAGAACAATATCTGCTCTTAGGGACTTAGCTGATGGAAAATCTTGGGCTAAGTCTTCTCGATGGCCAGCAGCGCTCTCCCCTTTCCCTCCTTCTCGGGGCCGAGGGAGTTGCTTGCCTTAGAATAATTACTGGACATGACTACTTGCAAGCCCATCTATTTAAAATTGACCTGATCAATTCACCTCTTTGTGTGCTCTGTAACACTTCGCCTAGGACTGGGGAGCATCTATTTGATTGTCCCTCTCTTCTTGACATTCGCTCCTGTGACGACTTTCGTGCCCTCTCACCTTCTGGAGCTACTTCACTTTTGTATTGGACTGCAAGACTCCTTATGTCTGAGAAGACGATGGCGGGCGTACTTTTTTTAAAAAAAAATATTATTTGAAAAATGTATAAATTTGAGTTTTATCTCTTTTTTACATATTGTATTTTTATTGTTTATTCTTTTACATTTTGGCCATTAAACAAAAATTTTAAAAAGTAACATATTTTTATGCTGGGAAATTGTTCAGTAGTTAACTTGAATGAAATGCCTTACCTTTAATATAATTTTTCAGAAATCTTTCAACATATGAAGATAAAAACCAATTACATTTTTTATATTGACCAGACCAGGGCTTAGTGAAGACATAATTTTAAATAAGTAAAATAATCTTAAAATATTTGTTTAGTAATAAAATTATATTAATTTTTTTTAATATAATGAATAAGTATGAACTTAAATTTAATTTAAATTTTTCACTTAGTAATAATTGACAAAAAATTTGGATTACTTAATATTTTTTTCTCAGTTAGAGGCCCTATGAAAAACAATTACGGTTTTTAACTTGCAGTTTGAAACTTAATCAATTAATATAATATTTTTGTTAAAAGATATGACATTGTCAGTTTTCTAGAGTAAAACTTTATTTTTTTTTTTATTTACATAGTTAACTATTTTTGCCACATTTGCTTTCAATAAACTTAATATTATAATGCAGATTTTTGAAAAAAAAGCATTTTTATTATTTTTTCCTCCTGATTATGTATGGTAAAAGCATATTGTCTATGCAGTCCAACCTAAATTATGCTTTGTATATCTTTAGATAACTGTTTCAATTTGAAGGTGAATAAATTTTTATTATTAGGCATAAAGCAAGGCGAAAAAGTTGTCGAAAGGTTGAAAAAAGTCGTCTGCCGAGATTTCCCAAGCGACCAGATGCTTTACTAACTAATGATAAGATCCCACTTCGAGCTGTAAGTATTTAATTTATGCTTCCCAATTGTTTTTAGGTTTTTAGTTTCAATTATTTTGCTATAAACTTTTACTCAGTTAACCTTAACAGTGATTCTGCAAAACTTTTTAAATTACGGATCCTTAGAACCCAGAACTTCCATATTTCTGGGTCCCTTTTTATTAAAAGCGAATCCCTATTTAAAATATGAATTCTTAATCTTATTATCTTTCTACTATAATTCACTGTAATAATATTATTTTCTTAACTGATGGACAAAAAAACTTTTTTTCAAATCAAGGTTTGAACTATCAAGGTTTTTAATTAGAACTGATCAAACATCTGCATGATTGAAAAACAGCAATGTAATTTGATACTCAGAATAATTCGAATTTTCTCCTTCAGCTCTAACAACAAAAGGAAAGGAGTTGTTTTATTTAAACCTTACTTTTTAATTTTGCATACATGAATCTGCTGTTAGGCCATTTTTTTTCTGTTCTGTAAAATTACACGTCCCAAAGGGCATGCCTCTGTGTGTTTGATGCATTGTAGCGTGCGAGTAGGGTCACTGTTTAATCAATCTTAGTTTGTTTTTATTACATTAAATCTCAACTCTTTTCTTGGAAATAAAAGGAAAAAAGTCACTCGTTAATGCAGATGCTTTCAATTACAATGACTATAACTTTTTTTAAAATTATATCTTTTCATATTGGTAAACATTAACAGTAGTGCTTCACTCTTTAATGAAGTTTTCAGATTTATTTTAAGAAGTAGTTCTATGTTACTTGATTTCTTTTAATTAATATTAAACTTTTCCCACTTTATTATTTAAAAGCATGTAGCCTTTTGATAAATTGTGTAATTTAACAAATATTATCTATTTTTTTTTCAATGAGCAAGCTTTGTTTTTTGACATTTGTAATGACTTCTTACTGTTCCTCATCATATGATTGTTGTGTAGTTTTTGACCTTGGTAGAAACTTTTTACATTCGTTTTTCTTATGATTGCTGCAAGTGTTTTGACTTTTTACTTTCTTTTCTTATAATTTCATTATTTTTTTTTTTAAAAAAACACTTTTGTAAGGACTTTTTATTATTTTTTTGTTAATAAGTTTTTTATGTTTAGAGATATCATTAAGTACAATAAGATGTTTAGAGGAACACCTTCAGAATACTAATGTTTACAAGGACAATTTTACTGCTTTTAAATTTTCAGTTGGTTATAAACTGTTATAAGCCTACTGGAACCTACTTGAATTATTTTTGTTTTGTAATTGGTGGCAATTTTACGGTCAAGAAATTGAAAATTATGGAATTTTTTCATATATTTTTTTTTTTATAAAACTGTTGACAAAAAAGCTGCAGTTCTTATTTGTATGTTTTTAAAGAAATTATACCAATTTTAATAACAGAAATTATTATGTATCTTATTTTTTAATCTAATACTATTTCTTTTCTAATTATTTAATAAATATTTTAGTTTCCTACTTTCATTATGTAATTTAAATTGCTAAAAACTTTATTTACAGCAACAATTAGAAGAATACCTGAAGAATGTGTTAAGAATTCCTTTGTATAGAAATCATTATGAAATGGTAACTGCTTTTCCATTTTTTTACATATATATTGTGACTACATTTTTTCATCAATATCCTCTTTTTCCAAAAAGAATTACTCTTATAAAATACACTGATAAAGTTAAAGATCAATGCTAATGTTAACTGAAGCAGTATTTTTTATTTCTAACTTTCAGTTACAAGTTCAATTCATTTTTACTTTTTTTAAATTAATAATTTAATTTTAATATAATTTAATTTTAATAATTTAATTTTAATAATTTAATTAATAATTTGTTTTTTCTTAAAACATAGTAAGTGGGATTAAATTCCATTTTTCAGTTTTAAAACAAAATTTTTCCAAGTAATATTTTTAATTGTTAATTTTAACTTTTTCTAATTTTTTCTCAGCAGAAAATTCCCTTGTACACATTTTAAGTCTTAATTTTTTATTTTCTAATTTTATTTAATAAAAATTTATTTTAGAAACTTTTGCTAAAACATTTCAATATATATTTTTATTTTAGATGGATTTTTTGGAAATATGTCCCCTGTCTTTTATTAATGATCTTGGACGGAAATTGAAAGAAGGACTTGTTCAAAAAAGATCGGGTGGTCACCGTTCATCCACTGGATGCTTCCGTCTTAAGAGAGGATTTATAGATTGGTGTGGACGTTGGAGATGGAGGTACAGAAATTGTCTTTTTTTTAAATGCATTTTTAAAGAAGAAATCTAATTTGTTATTTACCATCATTTAAGGTTGCTCGTTGTGTTAAAGTGTGGGGAGATTTTACATTTATATTTTTTATAAAATAAATATGTTAAAATTAGTGCTTGGTTTTATAATATTTAATTCATTGCTTACTAAATTTCATTAAATTTGTGGGTTGATAAGGTATCTTGGATGGTTACAAACCATTTGTGTCAAAAATTATGTGTTTTAAAAATGTCTTTAGTGTGACATGTTTAATAAAAAAGAAAATTTTAGTGATGAGAATGGAGATAATTTTATGTTTGGAAATTTCTCCTAGAATGCTTAACATTTATATATATATATATATATATAACGTTGTTGCCGAGTGGAAGGATTAAAACAGGTCTTAGGCAGGGAAGGAGGGTACAAAATTTATTTATTAAGTATTAGACAGAGCAGTCATGAAAGTGTGTACGAAAAGTTGTGCTTCTTGGTTATATGTTAGAGAAAATCTTGCAAAGTAAATCCGTAAAATGTTTCAATTTAGGGAAAGAGGGAAATCTTAGTAATTGTAATAGGTTTATCAAATAGGTTGAGTGTTTCCCACAGAGAGCAAAGGGGAAAATGTCCTGCTTTTAATTAATGCATAGTTGAGCCAAAAATAGATTTAAGGACAGGATGTGAATTTAAAAGTGTGAGAAAGTATTTCATTTAGAATAATAAAATAAAAGAATAGGATTTTCAGAAATGAACTAACATAAAAAGATTAATTGAAGCTTTATATATATATATTATAGANCAACAAGAAAATGCTATGGATGCATTAGATAACTTAGAACATATAAATGACTTTATTAATAAGTGTTATCTTAAGAAATTAAAACAGAAGTCAATAACTGACTTTTTTCAACCTTGATTCCGTAACGGATAAATAAATTCGTAATTTGGCGTTCAATTCACTTCATTATTTCTTCTCCAAATTTCAAGTTATTTTTAAATGTTCATTGTTTTTAGTATTTTTAATTTTATGTTAAATTCACTTAAATTTGCAATATGTCTTCATTAGTAACTTTTAAGAACTGTAATATATAAGTAATTGTTTAGTAGTTCAATAATTGTTGACTAGATGCCGCCACTACCTAAACGGTTAACACGAAATTCGGTTAACACGAAAAATTTCGGTGGTCCCGACGATTTCGTGTTAACGGGGTTTGACTGTATATATTAAATAATATATATATATATATAATAATCTAGTTCAATTTAGTTTTATTTCTACAAACAAAATATTCAATTGTCCATTTTGCTATGGGGGTTGACTGTACTGTAAAAAAGTTTTAGTTTAGTTTTGTTCCCTCATATTAGGGGAAATGTCTCTACCTCACTTCCAATAATGAGATTATTGCACCAATCCTCCCTATATTTTTCAACCTACACGTAAAGGCTTTTCTGAACAAATTTGTTTTGCATACAATATTTCTTCCACCATTATTGAGCTCTCCTTGTCATTAAAATAAACATTTTTCACTGTTCTTTACTAAATCTACTCTAAAACAGGTACTTTTTCTTTTTTTTTACTAGCACAACAGCCCTTTGTAGACACAGGTATTTTTCACTAGATTATATAAAAGTATAAAACTTGCACCTTTCCTTCAAAAAAAAAAAAAAAAATTGAGATTGCAAAAATTAAAAGTAACTAATTTTAGAGGAATTTCTATAATTAATTTATTTGAACTTATATAATAAGAAAAAAAATTATGAAGTAAAATTATTGTTTTGAATAGTTCCTAAAATTATGAATTGGTTACTTCAATTTGCTCCAAAATTTCATAACTATTTTTTCAAAATGCTCTTATATTTAATGAAAATCATCTTCCTGATTGTTTCAGGAATCCAATCACATCTAATTTATAAACATACATATATATTTCTCACTGAAAAAGCTTTTATTTTGCTTAATATTTAGTTTTTTAAATGCTGAAGTTGTTTAATAGAAATTCAAATAGCTGGTGTAGAAGTCCTAATTTTTTCTGATAAAAATATTTTGTCGTGATTTTTAGTTTTTGTCCTAATAATCTTGAATTATGTGTGTATTCAGAACATTCCATTTTTTTAAATACAGTTGCAAATTTTAAAATGAGAGATTTGAAAAATCAATTTTTGATCCAACATTTAAAATGAAAATAACTGAAGTTAAAAATAGTATGTTTTATTATGCTTTTGTGAAAAAAATTGCCTTTAATATATTTAAGTGCAGCAAATTATACTTTCTTTTATTTGTTAATTATCATTTTTAAAAAGTGTTCTTGTATATTTATCACAACTGTTGCTATTTCCTCATCTTTCTGTTTCCTTGTAGTTCATTTTTTTCTGCTCTTATTCCAAAAAGAGAATCTTATTTGAAAAATTGTTATTTAAATAATGAGCAAAATAGAAATGTTTTTTTCCTTTTTAATTTTATGGATTTTTAATATTTAATAATTTTTATTTCAATATTTTTTAATGTATAAATGGTCCGTGAAAAGTCTTATAGTTTCTAAATAAAGCAGAAAAAGATTTAAAAAAAGTTCTCTTTCTCAATCTTAAGGCATTAATGAAGAGACGTGTTTCTCCACTTTTAGGAATTATTTTATTTTAAAATTAAAGTTTTTAATGCTAAAGTTATTTCTCAAAATTTGAAAGCTGCTATTATGGAACTATTTGTTTTAGTAAAACAACATTTCAATAGTTTTTTGGAGTTTATATTTTAAATAAATAATTTATCAATATTAATGTTCTAAGAGTAACTTTGAAATCTTTCTGGTGATTTAGATGGTTGCTAATAAAGGACAGTTGGGTGGCCTATATAAAGGCTGAGGATGGTAGAATAAGATCTGTTTTACTTATGGATCAAGCATTTAATGTTGAGTGTGGATTCCTAAGCACTGGAATACACCATGGATTGCAAATATCTAATCTTGCAAGGTAAATAATATAGCCTTTAAATTTAAGTTCTTTGCATGCAATGTCTTGCGTTGTCAATGTCCTACTTTCTTTCAAAAGTATCATATGTTTATGTTTTGTAAAACAAAAAAAAAATATGGAATAATTTGAGAACACGAAAAACTTTGTTTTTTTTAGTGTAAAATATATTTACTGTCAAATTGTAAACGTATTGTGTATTAAGAAATCTATCTAGTTAAAAAAACTTATATCAATGTGGATTTTTAACTATCCAAGCTTAGAGTCCTCAGAAAAAAAAATTCACTAATATTTCTCTGGTTAGTAATATTTTCACAATGAATAGCACAGAGAAAAGTGGTTTTTTGATGTAGCAAAAACACCAGCGGAAAGTTATAATTTTTTTTTTTTTGAATTTTCCATATTTTAATATTATTGTTGAACTTTAACTATTTTATCTATAATTAGTGAAGCATTTGTATAGATTCTTGTAAGTTCTTTTTTAAAATGTATAAGAAGTACAAATTGCACTCCTTATACATTTTAAAAATCAAGAATTTTTTTTATTTTGCATTTGACAATTATTTAAAAACTTACAGTTTTAAAAGAAACTGGATGCTGACTTATTTATCGCAGAGTTGGGAATCAAATTTGCCATAATTTTATTATTCTTTTTTGGTATAATTATTTAAAATCTGATAATTGTAATTCTAATTTAAGGAATATTTTTTTGTTTAATTTTTTACTGAATCCTATAAAACAATGGGAAAAATTCTTAAAGGGATGTTCACTGCTAATTTTTCTCTTCTAACACTGATTTGGAAGAAATGCAATATTTTTGCTGCAAAATGTGAAACAAATTTCACCCAAATATGCTTTTCTAACTTCTTAAAATTTTATAAAATGTGATTCAATTATTTAGATGACCATTTAGTTGCCTTTTTTCAGTTATTAAATCTACAATAAAAATTCTGGTGAAATGATTTAGTTTTTTAGGAACTATTAAATTAAAAAAAATCACAACATTGATTGAAAACTTTTTTTCTGAAATTGTCAACGAAGTTCTCATTTTTTTTCTTAGAGTTAATTTTGTAAAAAAATTTGAGATTAATGTTATTAAGACTCTTTCAAAATGAAAAAAACTCGATAATTATACCTAAACTGTTTTAACTTAAGTTTTATAAAAATTGTTTTAATAACAATCGACATTTTTTCATTTAAAAGTAAATTATGAATTTTAAATCTATTAAATTAGTTTTAAAACTGATTTTGTATTGTCTTTTTAGACACTTATTGGTCCGTTGTTGGACTCGCAGAAGGGCTAGAGAATGGTCAGAATGTTTACTCAACGCTGCTAAGACAACTGCACACGATTTTACTCAACCGAATCGTCATAGTTCTTTTGTACCCGTTAGAAATAATAATGAATGCAGGTGGTAAGTGCTTTTTTTTTTAAAGCGTTTGAAATTTCTCTATTGTAATTCTTCTATGTTTGTTATTTTTTATCAAAAATATTTCAGATACATTATGTAATAACGAGCGATTTTTTAAATTAAAATTTTTTTTTTTAAGCTGAAGTTGGTTATTATTTTACGCACATTCATATTTTAATATAGTTGAAATTCAGATTATAAACAAATGTTTTGAAAATTAACTAAATTTTGTTAGTCAATGCCTTATGGCAATAGTGGTTTTAATTATTAAAACTAAACTGAGTTGTAGCTATGCATAGTTTTCTATTATAATTAGTTACTCTTTTTCTCTTTCTAACAGAAGATTAATCTATGACTTGTGTTGTTATTTTATTCTTTACTAATTTACCTTTCATTATATTATATTTGAAGTAGACAAAATAATCTTCTTTTTGTCGTTGAGATATTTGAAACCATCTTTTTCTGTAGGTTAGAAAGTTCAAGTTTTTTTTAAAATTTTTACTTTGAGTAGCAATTCATTGTTCATACTTGTACAAGATCATGTCTGTAAAATTTATCTCCTCTTGACTCAAATTTTAGTGCAGTAGAAAGCCAATATTACACAATTCTGTAAATCACGATTTTCCATAAACTGATCTAAGTTTTACATCCTTTTAAGCACACCAAAAATGAAAAAATAGTTGCTTTTTAGTTCTAATAAAACTAACTCAGTGGCGCGACAGCCCATTAAGAGGGCCAAGGCCGACTGTGCCCATCTCAGTTTTCTTGACCTTGGGCTCTGGGGTGCAGGAGCATATGTTCCGGTCAGGTGGTCAGCCGAACGCGGAACCCCCAGTGTTAGTTCCCAAGCATGCTTGGTACTCATTTTATCGACCCACTGAAGGGATGAAAGGCTGAGTGAACCTTGCCCGGCCCGAGGATCGAACCAGGGACCTGTGGCACGACAGCGCGAAGCGCTACCGCTCAGCCACCGGGCGTCTTTTAGTTCTAATACTCTTGATAATTTACATTTTTTTTCTGTAAATAATAAATACTGTAGTGCATATTTTTGTGTTTTAAACTATTTGTATTTGAAAATTATTTCTTGGCCTTTATATTGATCTGTTCTCGATGCATATATTACCATGCTTAGTTGGTAAGTTTAATGATTTGTGAAATGATCTATTTAATATAAAACTTTTTATAATGCAAAGCTTCACATTTAAAGGTTTACATTATAAAGGCTTTCTACTGTAGGTATCAAAACTAATTTCAGCACACTTTTCACCAATAGAACTTTTGGAGTCTTAAGTTTGTTGACATCACTATTGAAAGTAAAATGAATTGTTAGATAAAATTAATTACAGATTTTTGTAACATAATTTACTCAAATGAAATTTACAATTCCAATTTCAACAGAAGTTATTGTGATTTCTAATTCGAAAATAGTTTTATTTAAATGCTCTTATTTTTAGGTTTATTGATGGAGCAACTTATTTTGAAGCTGTAGCAGATGCTTTAGAAAAAGCAAAAGAAGAGATCTTTATTGCAGATTGGTGGTTAAGTCCTGAAATTTATATGAAGAGACCTGTGATACAGGGAGAAATTTGGCGGTTAGATCATATTCTTAAAAGGAAAGCTGTAAGTGAAACCCTTTTTTAATTGATTTATTACTGCCCAAGTTATAAAGCAATTAATATGCATATTATCTGCTAACTAATATTAAAATTAGCTAGGGTAATTCCTTAAAGTGAGGAATCAAGAGCTTTCATCAACTTGACTAGACAATGTGCGCATACAAACAATTTCCATATTATTAAAGTTCAAAAGCTTGTTGATTGTTTGTTTGTATTTATTAACTTGATTCATTAGATATTGAAAAATGAAGGACATCATGTTAAGTTCTTTATTTCAATAATATTTTAAATTGTTTGATTCTTTGTATTAGAGTTTTTAAAGTAATTGATGTTTCATTCTATCAACTAATGTGTTGAGTGTAGTAACTTGACTTTTTAATAGCAAAAAATAATTAAATAACATTATGCTAATTTAAGAGTACCAAATCATAGTTGTTTTTCTAGTAAAGATATTAATTTCACTTTAATTAGTTCTTGTTAGGTATTTATATAGGTAGTTTATTTGTTAGGTTGTTTGAGTTGCTAAATTATCTAAGTTAGCAACCTTAGTTTGTTAATTTGGACACATAGTAAATCTGCTCATAAACTAAATAATATCTATAATAACTGACAGTAACAGATATACGTTTTTGCTAAGTATGTTACAAAATTGTATATCCATATGGCTACACACATACTGATATTTTCATGATAGGTTCCATACTGATTGATTTGATGATTTTCTAATAATTCAATTGTCAAATTATTATTTTTCTTTTACAGCAACAAGGAGTGAAAGTATTTGTACTTTTATACAAGGAAGTAGAATTAGCTTTAGGAATCAATAGTTTGTATAGCAAACAACAACTTGTGAATATGCATCCAAATATTAAGGTGAGTTATTGTTGGTTTAGATGATTATTTATAAAATTATAAATAATTTTATTTTTATTATATAAAATTTTATTTTTATTATGTACAATTATATGTAATTTGAATTCAAGAAATATACTTTTCTTAATAAGTCATTGCTTTCAAAATGTTTGTTCACCATCAATAAAACTTTCTCTTGAAAATATCTTTAGAATTTTATTTTCATAAGAAATGTTTACTTCAAACGAAAAAAAAGAGTGAGAATTTTAAAAATTTCCAAAAAATAAGAAATGTTTTATAGCATTTGAAAAGGAAACTATTAAGATTTATTGTATAATTTTATTACCTTGGATGAAAAATACATATTTTATTATCTTTAAATTTTTAATTCAACAAACCTGAGTCAAAACAATTTACTATGAACCTAAACCAATGGCACAATGATTTGTTTCTTTTAAATATAATTGCTGTTTTCAATACTTTTCAGTGTTTAAATGTTGTAAAATCATAATTTTATCCAACACAAGCAAACAAAAGATATGTTATATGATTATTATATGCTTTATCCTATTTTATCCTCAGGTACTCCGTCATCCTGACCATGTGACTAATGGTACTTTGCTTTGGGCTCATCATGAAAAAATTGTGTGTATTGATCAAAGTTATGCCTTCCTGGGAGGCATTGACCTATGTTATGGTCGTTGGGATGATTATCAACATAAGTATGTAATTAGTTAGTTTGCAAGGTTTTTTTGAAATTTTTTTTTTGAAATATGAGGTGCATTAAAATTCCAGCTTGAGCTGGAAGGTTAATGCATCTCATACACCTAATAACAATCAAATAGCAATGACAATCGATAATTTTATTTGATGTTGATTGAATTGACAATTGATAATTTATCTCATACCTATGAGATGATTATCAACATAGGTATGTGATTAGTTTGTTTGCTAGATTTTATTTGATTGTTGTTGCTATTTGATTGTTATTAGAAGAATGAGAAGCATTAACCTTCTAGCATGTGCATCTGTTTAAATTTTATGTAAATTTCAGTTTATTCTGCATTTTTGCATTTATCACAGCTGGGTTGCCTGAAGATCATTTCTATTCATCTTTTCAATCCTTCCCCATATCATGGAATCTGCCAACTGGAAATCATGTGACAATTTTTATTTTTAATATAAGTTTTGTGCTACGAGATTGCTAGTTCATGGAATTTACGACGCGCACGTGGATGAAAATTCAAAAAATATTCCTTTGAGTGTTTTGTAATTGTGTGTTAATAATTGGTGTGCATTATTTTAATTTGTTTAAATTTGAAACTATATTTTTATATTGGGTTTTATGATAAAAAAATATATGCAACCAGTCAGGGTGCGTAGCGTTTGTATTCGTTTTTAAAAGCTTTTGAAGGTGCTTTTTTCAGCTGCTGTTTTTAAAAAGTGCTTTTTTTCCACAAAATTTTTTTTTTCTTCAGTGATATCTGGTGGATCCCATGCATTTTACGAAAAATGGGGTGTTTGCTACGTAATTATTCACNATATATAGAAATAAGTCATAAATGATATTTATTTGTAGTGACAATTTTTGAAAATATTTTCTTCCTTTACCATATTTTTGTGTTGATTTTTTAAATATAATTTTTTATTTGCACTAATTATGTCTAAATTTTCACAAGATAGGTACCTCTTAAAAAAACCCAGACAGATCAATGATTTTGCTCTTTCATAAACGACACACCTTTCCAAGAAAACAAATATTATTATCATTTCAAAAAAAGACTTTCTGATATTTTTCACTAGAGTTACATTATTTTTAATTTAACTTTTGTAACTTAGTGATAATAGTGCTTGAAAAGTTTTTAAAAAGTGCTTATTTTTGATTCAAAGATTTGGCTACACACCCTGCCAGTTAATTTGCCCCACATTCTTCAAGAATTATCTGATGAGGAAAAAGACGGAAAGGAAACATTTGAAATCAAGACTAATATCGATTTAAGTGAAGAAGATATAGAAATAAAAAATATCATTAGTGAATCTGAATAATATATTCAAGGTGATGTTAATGATGTAGAGGAAAGAAAGATGATGACATGTTCTATAATGGTAAGGATAATTCTTCGAAGTGGCGAAAAGTAAAGCATGCAAACTGCTCAAAGATGAATATTATTATTATGAAGTATAGCTTTAATGTCACCTGACCTAAAGTATCATGCCAAGGATATGAAATAAGAAAACAGGATCATTTTTTAAAATAATTGATATAAATATGATTGATGAAACTTTAGAGTGTCCTATAAATTTATAAATTTGCTAAAAGGCAAATACTCAAGAGATAGACTGTTTTGCTACGTCAAGTGTGGAAGTGATGGCATACTTTGGATTGTTACACACGATAGGGGAAAAGGACACCATTTAAATGCAAAAGTACCGTTCTCGAGTGAGGGCACCGGATAATCAAAACATGCCTTAGCTGATTACTGAAATTATTTGAATGGAAAGCAATATGAACTTATAACACTGAGAAATCTCATTAGAATTCTATTTTTCTATTATCACTCTACTTTACTCTCTTTGTGTAATTACTAGTCTATTATTTTCTCTTATTTCTAATTTTTAGAAATAAAAATTAATAAACTAGTTTTTGTTACTAGCTGTTTATTTTTCGACTAGTAAAATTAGTTTCATAGTAAAATTCTTTGCTGAAATAAATAATGTTAAACTTAATCTTTCCTACCAAGGTTTCCTTTTTTTAATTGTTTATACTTGCCTTTGAGGAATATTAATATGATCTTGAATTTTAAAATTAGTTCAATTTTAAATTATCTATGATAAAATACAGCCTTGCTTTCTATCTGACTAATATATGAGCATTTATTAATAATTTACTTTCATTTGAAAGCAACATCATTTGTATTTTGCAACAATAAGGTTATTTTATTTTTTGACATATTTATTATCAATATTCATTTATTTATTTCATTTTCCATTCCAAAATCAATAAATAAAGGCTGTCGTAAAAAATACGAAGTGGACACTCATGTAAAATTGAGCGCGTCTTGGAATGTTAATTATTTATTTTTATAATTTCAATACCTTTTACCTGCTAGTTTTCATTTTTTTAAAAATTCCTTTTGCTCACAATACCTTTTTTTAAAGAAGAAAAGTACATATATTTATTCTATTTCATCTCTTGTTCTAATGCTGTTTATGTATAGTGATATTGTTGGATATATAAAACTAGTATATGTCTATTTGAAGTATATGTTCAGTGCAGATGTAGTATATGTCTATTTGAAGTGTTATTCTCTTAATGTTATCTATAATAATTTGTTCTTTCTCACCTAATGTTTCTGAGCAACACACTTAAAAAAGCATATTTCTGATCAATACCAGTTTATACCAACTGAAATTGCCAAGTGCTATTTCCAATCCCAATAATTTTTTTAAAAGAATTAAGATTTAGTTATTTACCTCTACATATATTCCAGTTAGTCCCAATCTATAATTATTATTTTTTTACCTGTACCACTGCCTGGTCTGATTATTGACAAAACTTGGCAGCTATTTTGTTGTAGGTACCTGTCTTTCCAACAAAACATTCCTTTGAATTACATTTTCCTTTTTAGAGTCATGTTTATCTCTAATGTACCAAACTTTATTTTTTATTATTATATTTTTTTTTAATTTCATGGCTTGTTAATTTACTTTTAATTTTTTTGTTTAATTATGAAAAAAATTGTTAAATAAATAGCTGTTTATTTGTGAAAAAAGTGTTATTAAAGAGTATTTTTTTTTTCAATTTAAATATTTATTAATTTAAATTTTAAATTATTTGTTACACATTCAAATCAGAAAGAAATTGAAAAAGTTTTTTTCTTCTTTTAGTAAAGAAAATTTAGATGGAAAAAACTTAAAATATAATTTCATTCTATTGACAAACCTTTTTGTTTTGAAATTATTTATGTGTTCTCTTTACATTTACTGTAGACTGACAGATCTTGGTGGAGTAGCCAGGAGAATTAGCCAAGGTACATTGATGGAAGAAGTAAAGACTAATCATAGTATTTCTGAAACAATGGTTCAATTACGTAGGTCTCATTCCATGTCTGAAATTCAGGTAGAATTAGGAGCAAAATTGAGTAATTTGGTAAATATTTTTATGCAACATGTACATTAATAAATGAAAAACAAACTTGTTGTTTTAATGAGAAAAATGTATTTATTTTGATAATTTATTTTTACATAGAAAGAGAAAAACCTATGTTCCAATTTTTCAGTTTGTAGATTAATGGCATTAGTTTTTGAGTTTTATATTAAAATGAAAGTTAATTAAATAAATTTTTACAATTTTAAGAGTAATATATTGAGTGCTTAGTTTATTATGAGACCAAGGTTAAAAGATAATATATATTGACACTGAAAAGAGCAAGCACTAGTAAGAAAACCTTTTTTGTTTAGCTTTTCAGGAAAATTAAAATATCCGTACCTACTAATATTTTTTTAGCAGGTATAACAAATATGAAGGGCTGTTTTTTAACAAAAATGTAAATAAATAAATAATGATAAATAATTTTTATCTAAGAACTGTAAGAGCTTATTTTACATCCCACGAAAACCAACTATTAACGAAATGGTTTTGCTATCAGTTTCTCCCGTTCTTTCAGCCTTGTATAAAACCGGGATGCTGAATAAAGGGTTATTCAAAAATTTTAATTACGTGATGAAATGAAACAAACATGTTCTCACAATAACAGATGAAAAGTTTTTTACAATAGCATTTCCTCATAAGCATGCGATAAAATTTTTTTTAAAAATACATTTCCATACTGTCAAAATGTTAGCAGTTGTTGAATAATACATGTAAATATTACTGGAGCTCAAATTTTACAAAATACATTTTTCTAATTTATTGAAAAAATAATACATTACTGTAACTATCAATTGGAAAAATATTTTCTGAAACTGCAGAAATTCTGTAATAGCTGTTTATAAATCTGACAGAGTAGTTTTGTAGTAAATAAATCTGACTAAAGACATTAATTATGAAAAAATTAGTTTTTAATGATCATATATGTATATATATTTTAAAAAATTAATTAACATTAAACTTTTATTTTGTTTGTTCTTTCCATTAACTTCATTCGTTACTAACATAGCGTCTTAAATTAGCCCGCCATTCTCTCCTTCCTCAGCCCCCTCAAATTTCAATAGACAGAAGCACAACAGATGATGAAATTGACTGCCCTGGGAACCTCAATCCAGTTCAAATTCAAGTCCAGTCACCAACTCCGACCTCGTCTCAGATTTTAACACCCTCATCCGAAGAAGAGAAGAAAATCCATGAACCTGAGCTGCTCGAGTATCCTACAAGCCACTTGAGGGCCCTAGATAATGACGAATGTGCTAAAAAGAAATATACTTCAAGGAAACTAAAGGCAAAGATGGTTATGCAAGCAGTTGTGGTATGTTTCTTAAAGTGTAATTACAATTTATACATTTTATAAGTGCTGTAGTTGTAAATTTAATGCAGAATTAGTAACCAAAAAGAGTCATGTGCATTATGTCGATTTAAAAATAAATATATTTTTGTCAATGTTTAATCTTTATACAGTAAAATGACATCCATCATGGACCTTACTTTAATATCCCATTCATATTTCCTTCAAGAAAATCCACTAAACTAGTTGTTCCTTTCATAAGTAATTTATAAATATTATATTAACTTTAAGAATTAAAGTTAAGAAATACCTTGGGAAATATAAATTTCCTTAAATTAACATGATTAGAGTATTCTAAAAATTATTCTCACAATTTATTTTGTAAATACTGTGCAAATAAAATAAAAATGCTGCAACTGATGCTTATTGGTGATTATTCCAAAAAAACAGATATCGTATTAGTTGGTGCATTCTTCAATTTATGTTTTAAAAAGTTCTGTAGTCTGTATGCCACGTTATATCGGAAAACTTTAGCAATGATATAATATGGAAATCACATTTATAGTCCCAAAAAATAATAAAATTATTTGAAAAATATTGTTTATTATCACCCAGTGTGTAAAATTACTTTAATTACTGATTCCTATTATTTTTAAAATTTATAACATTGCTTCAATTTCTTTGAAATTATCTTTTAAAAAAAATGTTTTTTTAAGACAATATTCTTCATAGTAGATCACATTTCTTTTAAACTAGCATAATTATTTCAAGACTCAAATTAAAACTGAGTCTAAATAGTTACAGTTACTATAACATAAACAGTTACTATACTGAAGTGATAAAAATTAAATCGTCTAAGATGATTAATTTGAAAACATTTTTCTTAAACATGAACTTTTTTAATAATCTTTTCTGCTTTAATTGTTTAAATTTATTTTTGACTTACAAAATCACTTGTTTCTCATTTTAGCGGTTACAGGGTTTAAAAAAGCAAGCTCACAACAAATCTTTAGACTCATTACAAGATATTAAATGTGACAGGTAAATATATTATTCTACGCATTTTCTTAAATAACGTTATTTATTTATTTAAAAACCTGAAATGTATGAAAACCTGAAATTTACAATTAATTTTGCCTTCTAGTTACCTTTTTCACTGATTTTCAAAGAATTTTATTTCTAATAAAGGTGATTTCTCATGCCAGTTTCTTACATTTCTTAAAAAAATAATTTTAAATTAAAAGTTGCATACGTTTATAGATTTTCATAATTTTCAGATTATTGTGTGTAGAAGTTCAAATTACTGTTATCAACTGTCTACTAAATTAACTATTATTTGTTTTGAACTGTTTACTTTTGACAAATATTTACTTTTATCCCCATAAGTTTACCAAAAATTGTGGAAAGTGAAGTGAAAACTAAATGTTCTTAATCTGTTTTAAGTTTAGTGATGGAAGCACTTAAAAACTATTTATTTCATTGGTATAAATTATTTTTAAGTATGGCAACAAGTATTCACTCTTGGTAAATAAAATGTAGTTCAACTCAAAAGAACATTTTTGAAACGTCAAAAATAGCAGCAATAAATTTGTGTAATTACTCATTAATTTCTTTATTTGCATTCTTTAACTAATTTACTCACGCAAATGCCGTGTAATGCAAAATTAAGATGGAAGAGCTGACAGTGCAACACATCTATTAAACATGGAGAGTGACAAAATGAAAAGCTGCTACACCCTGTGCAAAATTGTATATCAAATCAAAATGTATTTCTTAGTTTATAAAAATAAATAGAACAATGTCACATTTATAAATAAACAATGTCACTGATGATAGTCAGGTCCTACAATTCTTGGTTTGTGAGCATTTTTTTATCTGTGTTTTTGATTAAATTTTATGGATCTTTATTGTTCTTTAATGTGTTGCTTTTTCATATAATTTGATTTTTTAATATTTCATAACTTGACACTAAAAGAAAAGTTGTTGCAGCTTGGATCTACCTGATACAGATATGAGAAGAACGAGTAGTGAAGTTGCCTTAAATGAATTGGGATTACAGGGAAATGCTAAGTTATGGATTGGTAAAGACTACATCAATTTTATAATTAAAGATTTTGAGCATCTACATAAACCTTACCAGGGTATGCATAATAATATTAAAGTTTCTTATCTTATATTTTTATTGAATGAAATTTTTGGACTTTTATTAAATTTATTTTACACTAGGATGCTAATCTTGAATTGTCAATTTGGGGCTCCTTCATTTTGTCAAAACATAAGATGGAAACTCTATAAATAACTGATATCAGGAAACTATGAGTTTTTCAAACTAATATCAATAAGTTGAAGGAAAAAAAATAGAGATTATGATTATAAAATTCTGAAGGAGAGGAATTAATAATCTGATCCTTTTTCAAATATTTTAAAGAATTTCTTTTTTAGTCAAAGCATTAGCAGGTTTAAAGTTCATTTTAAAACTTTAGTTGTAAAAAGTTTTTTAGCTGTAAAAAATTATTAAAAAGTTTTTTCAAGGAAAATTATTAAAAGCTTACTATAATTTTTCATTTTATTAAAAAGCTAACGCTTTATTTTGTATGTAGAAAACAAAACATGTTCAAAACTGCTAATTTTTTTTAACCTCAAAAATAATGTATGTATACTTTGTAAACCTACTGTGGGAATCAACATTACTTATATTGTATTTATTATACTGAAGCAGTAAATAAGTGATTGATAAAATATAAAGAGTAATCCTTTGAGGCAAAAACAAATGAGATAAAAAACAATGTTTAAAAACCACAAATTGTAAAATCTTAGATTAAAACCTCTACAAGTTTCAATGTCACATAAGTCCACCTTAATCAGTGGGACAAATGACAGAGGTTCGGAAAAACAGAGAGATAAATATGTAGTTTTAAGCGATGACATTAAATTGACAGTAAAAGTTTAAAGAATTACTGATGACTGATCCTAATATTTAAAAAATATGGTATAGCTGTAACGGTATAGGTGCTTTGATGATGTGATAATTGTCCCCAAAATCCAGGTTAATGTATAAACTACAATTATGAATGCTGTTAGATGAGAAAAAAATTGAACTTATGACCTTCAGTTCAGTCGGTGCTGTAGCTGGAAAAAAATATTTGGGGGAACTCTCATCTATAGGGTGTAAGTCATGGTTGACTGATTTTTGATTTGCTAAAAAACGACCAGTTTAAATTACTTGGCCAGCTTGGAATAAAAATTCAGACATTTATGTTTTTTTTTAAAAAAGGGTTTTCTTCCAATTAACGTTATTTTTATCTTTGGTGTATTCATTATAAAAACTATTGATAAAATAATTATTGAATATAATAAACTATATAAATTTCTATAAAATATTGCTGAGTGAGTTGAGTACTCAATTCTTCATTAGCGCTTGAAAAGTATTATGCACTACTTATTTGTTAAATACATTGCATTGGTAGTTAGAAGGTAGAAAATATACATATGCATAGACACAAAAAAAAAAGATCCAGATTTGTTTAGTTAGAATTTAAGTGTAAGAGACACTTAAATTCTAACACACATATTTCACATTTGTAATAACTCATGTTACTTACTTTAAAAGTGTTTTTATTCAAATAAAAAGTGAGTGAACTCCACGAGTCTATCCTTTATTGTTGATCATATTTATTCTTAAATTGATTTCCTTACTTACCAGATTATAAAATGTGTAAAACAGAGTTTTAAAGAAAAATAATTTCATTTAGTATACAAAATTTTACAAAACGCATGAAATTAACTGAAAGCAACAAAGGTTTTGTTCTCATTAAACACTGGATAAGCATCAGATTGCAAAGCTCAATTCGGCTTTTGAATGTGAGTTGTACAGTCGGCACTTCTGTTGGTGGGAAAATGTTTTTCTCCAGAACCAAACAGAAATTTTTGTTTCATTCTGTAAAAAAAAAGGAATATATATATACTAGAGGACTCCGCCCCCTGCTCGCTACCGCTTATAATTAAATTTTTGTTCGCTTCGCGAACAAAATCAAACTCGTTTTCCTGGAGATAAGCTGGCAATTTTTCTGCACCAACATCACATAGAGAGAATATGATAGGACTATAATCTTATATAAAGCAATTTTAATACAAACAATAATATAAACTTATATAAAGCGAGGAAGCAATATTATTTAACACATTACTATAGGGCATTAGCCGGAGATTAATCTCCGTATTCGAAACACACGTGGCAGAGCCTAACTCGGGTTGACTATATTTGAGAGTGCCCCTTGATTCTCACCAAGTTGTGATCGCGGTTGATCACCAACCTGGGCTATGTTGAAATCCAATCGTGATTCTGATTGGTTTAGATTTTAGCGTTATTTTTAAATGTTCAACGGTATATGTGATTTCAGAGATCCGCTAGTTTTAAGTTGGATAACGGCTGGTACCACAGACGCAATTTTCTATTCGTATTTCGCCGAATTTATGTGGCGATGGAGGTACACAGATTCTATTCGTGATAAATTTAGACAGTATCTAACTGCTATTAGAGAATTTGGTGCACCTAAATCTGAGGATATTTAAGTGAGTTGTTTTTTTCCTTTTCTTTTTGTGCTTACTCCATTACTTTTCGTTTCGATTCAAAATGCATTTTCTTGGGTTTATTAATTTTGCTCACATCGGGTTCATTGCAATTTTATAAAGTTTTGGCTGATGTTTTGTTGAGATTTTCCAATGTTTTATTGAAATATCATTATATTTTGGCAGCCATTCCTGTTACCACGGTCTTCCGCACAATGAGGAATGGCGCCAAACATAATTCGCCAATTTCGCCAAGGGGAAACCCATATATATTTTTACCCCTACTAACTCAAATCATTGTTGATCTTGTATGATGCCGGACGCTCCCTATTTGGTGCTTCATCTCCCCCCCCCCAGTAATTTAAATTTTGTACTGAAAACAATTAAAACCTAATTAAAAAAAACATTAAAATATAGCAAACAAATTAAAACATGTAATATTAATAAGTTGATGCTGAGTGATAGTTCAAAAGCAAAACCCATTGCAAGTAATTGCCCAATTAACTACAATAATGTCAACTGACAAAATATTTTGGTTTCAATCAGACAAAAAGCAAATTAAGTAAAGAAAACATATGTAACTGAAATTCGACAAATTAAATTAAGCAATTTAATTTTTATGTCATATTGAATACGAATAAAAAAACGTGGGATCGATGCATAAAGGTCATGGACAACGTTTAAAGGAATATTAAGCCATTCCTCTTGCAAAGCGGCCTCTAATTCCAAAAGATTTGATGAAGGTGGGAATCGGGAACGAAGTTTAGACTCCACATATTGCCACAAATGTTCAATAATATTTAAGTCCGGAGACTGAGGGGGCCAGGCGAGATGCTCAACTTCATTGTCATGCTTTTCGAACCATGTTTGAAAGCACCTAGCGGTGTGAATAGGGGCGCTGTCGTCTTGAAAAATCGGTCACTCTCCAGGGAATACAGTCTGTGCAAAAGGATGAACATGATCCGCTAGAACGCTTAGATAGTCATTAGATTTGATTCTCCCATGCAGACGTACTAGTGGCCCAAGACTACGCCAAGATAACGCACCCCAAACCCTAATGGAGCCACCTCCATTTTTCACAGTTGGTAAGAGGCATTCAGGATCAAACGCTTCTTTGGGTGATCTCCAGACATAAACTCGTACGGTGGTCTGAAATAAGGTGAAGGATGATTCATCGGACCATATTACCTGCTGCCACTGCTGTGGGGACCAGGCTTTGTGACCTCTACACCACTGACGGCACTTGAAAGCATTGGTTGCTGTCACCAAGGGTTTATGAATTGCCACTCTCCCATAAATGTTCCTGCATGAATTTCTCTTTGTACAGTTCTTGTTGAAACGGGATCCTGAAGATGACTGTTCATGTTTGATGTTATCTCGGATAACGATTGCTTGTGTTTTCGAGCTACTACCCGCTGCAAGACACGTCTATCCCTATCATCATGCTTTGACCTTCGGCCATTGTTTTGCTATGAAGACTTTGTCTTACCTTCTTTNCTTTAAAATATAGCAAACAAATTAAAACATGTAATATTAATAAGTTGATGCTGAGTGATAGTTCAAAAGCAAAACCCATTGCAAGTAATTGCCCAATTAACTACAATAATGTCAACTGACAAAATATTTTGGTTTCAATCAGACAAAAAGCAAATTAAGTAAAGAAAACATATGTAACTGAAATTCGACAAATTAAATTAAGCAATTTAATTTTTATGTCATATTGAATACGAATAAAAAACAAATGTAAAATGAAATAATTATGTTATTAATGATCAATAAAAATTTTTGTCAGAATTGTTATAAAAAAATAAGGTGAAAACAATAAAATTAAAAATTATTTACAATAGATCTCTGAATATTCACAAGACCTAGCTATGTACATTTTTCATTGATTTTTCTTTTCACATCATTTTGTGTACCAATGATTTGCACTTTTATGCATTATTTAAGAAATATTTCAAGCAAATATGAACTGTTAATTAATATTTCTGGCTGAACGATTTTTTGAAAGTAAGTGAAAAACAATTGAAAGTAAGAAAAAACAATGATAAAAAATAAAAATTATTTACGAAACCTCTTTATATGCAAAATTTTTTATGAATTTCTTTTCCATATTATTAGTTTTCATTTAAACGTCTTGACTCTTCAACGTTTCTTTGCCGCTCATTTCGCTGTCGCATATTGATAGTACTGCGATTATTTTCCCGGTAATTTTGTACTGCTAAATAATGTTCAGCCCTATGTCGCTGTTGATTTCGCCTAAGATATTCACGGCGATCCATTTTTTATAAAAGATTAGTATTTTAAAGTAAACTCTGTTCAATATATTTCACACATTCAATTGCAACAAGATTTTGCTGGTAAGTTTATTTGTAACATTTCTGCAGACAGCATTATTAAAAATTATTACCTTTACACACACATGCGTTCTCAATTTCGATTGGCTGTTTTGTGCGTTACTAGTCAGAAGTCTTCTGTGATTGGCTATGTGTTATCATTCCACTCTCGTCTTATATATAAAGATATACACATCGAAGAACCATAACATTATGACCACCCTCCATCTATAACAATGGGCTCGCCCAGGTTTTCATGGCTTCTCGCCCAGGAACAATGTTTTCATGGGGCACATTAGTCATAAGGTCGAATCATCGAGGAACATTCCAGTGACTTTCAAGTCATGTCTTGGCCCCCAAATTCACCTGATCTTAATCCAATAGAGCATTTGTGGTCCTACTTGGAAAACCAAATTTGTGCTGCCACGCTATCCCCTCCCAATGTGAGGGAATTGCAGGACCAGTTGGTGAGCGCTTGGTACCAGATACCTCAGACTACCTATCAGCACCTTGTGGAATCTATGCCACAGCGGGTGCTAACTGTTTTGAGGGCTAAAGGTGGTCCTACATGTCATTAGCAGGGTGGTCATAATGTAATGGCTCTTCGGTATATATATATATATATATATATATAATAAATAACTAAGCGAAGGAATGCAAAAGAAAGGAAATGGGTTTGAAATGTGATCCCTTCAGTTCCCTCCCAACTACAGCACTGAGTTTAGTTGTGTTTCACGATAGAAAAGTGGGGGAATACTTGATGCAGCTTTGATGTTCCTTGAAACGATGTTAGAGTGCTCTTTTGGTTTGTACATAAGCACTCAAAAATTCCGTTATTCGGTTTTCTGATACAAATGGTGATAAAAAAAACATTTAACTTCTACAGTGTTGTGTTTGAATATGTCACGTGTATTTAAGCTTATAAAGTATGTTTTTAAATATAGGTAATAAAGTTAAACTAAAATTCTAAAAGCTTTTTCTGACATTTTTTTTTCAAATCATTATAGGTGTTGAGAATTAATTCTCAATTAAGAAAAAGCATTTATAAGTTATTGTGAAGCCAATTTATATTTATTAGCTTGTAATTGTTTTTTTCTCTTCTTTAAGATCTGATTGATCGGCACACAACACCCAGGATGCCATGGCACGATATTGGATGTTTTGTTCAAGGAGCAGCTGCCAGGGATGTTGCCCGACACTTTATACAAAGATGGAACTTTACGAAAGTATGTTTCACACGTTGTAATTAAATGTTTATGTTTGTCTTCTTTTTATTGATTATTACAAATGATGAGCTTAACAGAAGAGCCTATTAACTGATATTTTAGTGCCATTCAGAAAATCAAATTTAGGAAGGAAATGACTTTCCATTGGCAGTTTTTAAGTGATTTTACTTTTCTTTTGTAAAAACCACCTCTCCAGGTAGCACGTTCGTACATGTTCCAACCAAATTTTCTTATTAGTCATGAAATTTTGTGCTATGTGATCTTTGGAGATGGAGAAGAAAAGTAATACTTCTCAGTTTGCACATTTAAAAGTTTTAGCATTGTGTGTATTGACAGTATATATATTGCCTCTTCTGGATAAAAAACGAGTTAAGGCAAATAAAAATTTCTCAGTACTTAAATCCGATAACAAATCCAAATGTAAGCCTTTCGTAACTGCACAAGTATATAGGTAGACAGACATATGCTTTTATAATTGTTGTAGATTTTTCTTCATAGATTGAGCCGGCAAAATCTATTTCATTTACGGAAAATGTTGGTGTTTCCAAAATTCGATCTTTAGGCAAAAATGAAGAGATTTGATTGTCTGGTTTTTAAGAATATCTTTGACGTATGCGGAATTTGTAAATCACTTTCTTTTTCAATTTTCTTCTCTTTGCAATCCAAAATTGTCTTTGTAGTCTTGTTAATGTTGCTGAGATACCTCTGCGAAGTATTTTCTCATATTCATCCTCTATTAAAAGTTCTGCAAATTTAGAGCTTCTACGAAGAAGGATTGGATGTTTTTCATCTGGACTAAATTAAGAACTTTCATAATTAAAGACTTGCTAGTATAAAATAATTTTCCATTCTTACTCCCATAACATGTTTTTCAACCTGAGAAATTGATTGTTTTTAAAATATCAATTATTCTAATAAGATCTTTGACTTGCATCAGTGAAACTAGCTGATTTTGACTAAAGTTTTACTTTATTCTGTAACATTCAAACTTACTGGCATGTGTTAAAATGGTCTAATAACCCATATTAGTGGTTTAGAACTTAATTCCAAATATTTTGATTAAAAAATGGATATAAAAGAAAACAAAAATTAGGACAAGCGAAAAGTTATAGCTTTTTTTTATTATTCAATAAAATCTTTTATTTAAACTTTAAGCTAATTTATGAAATTTTTAAAACTTATTTTTAAAATGTGCTCTTATTATATATTGGTTGCTCTCTTTTAAAATGTATAAGATTTTTCATTATTATTAGTGTTTTTAAATTGCGAATTTTGTTTTCAAATCTGCATCATTTTTTTCATATTTTTTTGTGTATATACTTCTGTATATAATTATAAACCACAATCTCAAAATATGTTGGAGTAAGTATTCTTTACCAAGGTTGAATGTTATCTGTCCCCCCCTTTTCCTTTCAAAATTTATATTCTGCTTTTTAAGAAGAAAATTTTGAAGAAATTTACATAATAGTCAATAATAAATATGCAATTTATATGTATACATTTTTTTATATTTATGTAAAATAAATTCCCTGAATAATCTATATTTTTCGTGTATTGAGGTACAATTTAATTTTTTAAAAATGTTATATTGTTTTAAAAATATAAAATTTATGTTGTTAAAAATAAAATATGATCTAACAATTAAAAACCATTTTAAAAATTAATTTGGACATTTTCTAGCATTTTAAAAAAAGTGTTTTATAGGTCACATATAGTGTAGGGTTTACTCATTACTTTTCAACATGCATCCGTGTACTTAAATTTGAAATTATACATTTATCATAAAATTAGGAAAAAATTATTTTTTAAATGCTGATCTTGAATGGTAATTTTCATTTATACATTTTCCATGTAAGCAATATTCTTTAAATGTTGACCTTAAATGGTATATTTCATAGATACAATTTCCATGTAAGCAATTTTTATTAATATTGTGTAGAGTATTATGGACAAGGCTCATTAAACTTTTAATAGAAAGCCAAGAAATAATGGCTAAGACAAAAATGTTTAAAATATCAAAAAGGATGTAAATGACAAGATACTAAAGTTTTTGATCAAAGTAGAACTGAGAAATATATTGTAAAACAATGATATTTTTACACCGCAAAAACAATATTTCAAAAGTATTCTCATAATATCATCCCTTGCAAGGAATAATGAATATATAACAATTATCGACAACGATGAATATCAAATTCAGTAATGTCTCTGTTATTATGGAATATGATATTGTCATGAGTGTTGATAAATTTCCTTCAGATAATGAAAATAATTGACTTACGTAAAAAAATTTAAATCAGTTAAATTGGAAAAACATTTGGATTTATTATTACAACATTCCATATTACATTTCAAAGAATTTTCTAACAACATGTTGTAATTTTGACATAGCCCTGCAGTAATACAATGCATTGCATGAACTGTGTTCAAAATAGTGAGAGGCATATAAATAGGACTAACATTCTTCTTTTTTTGAGGTAGAATCATTATTCATTTAAAAACAGTTACTAAATGCATTTTTTCTTTAAAATATTTCTTATATATTTTATTTTTAAACTTTGGGGCTATTAAATGCTAATATATATATATATATGTTGCTAGTTGTAAAGAAAAAAGATAGTTTATTTCAATTTCAGTAATGAACTTAATGTCCCTCAGTTTGAAAAAGCAAAATATTATGACAGATACCCTTGGCTACTACCAAAATCATATGAAGGATGTGACAATATACCACGTTTACGTATCAGCTCTACGAAAAAGCTTTTCTGTGCTAATTGTCAGGTTAGTTTTCATTTATGCTTACTTTTACTGATCTCTATTTATTATATTTTTTCAACTTTGCGTTTTTTTGATAGAAGGCTTATTTGGGATTTTTTTTCCAAAAGTATAAGCTGAAATTAATAAATGAGAAAGATGCAGTGATTTTTGTGTTTATGTGTGTGTAAATGTAGAAAGTGTTCGCAGATTTTAAATGTAATTTTCTAGAAACAGTGTTTTTTTATGCATTCCTTTGATTTTCAACTAATATGTATTAACCTTTAACAGCATATATAGGATTAATATAATTTTTGTTAAATACACAAGTGGGCGACCTTTGTGCTAAAATACGAACTAAGGTAGACAACGTTAAAGAGCACAAAAATATTATTAAAACCAGACAGCTGTTTCGGATGCTCAAAGGGCAACCTTCATCAGTGCAACAGAAAACAATAAGAGAACAGAGTAAATATATATAGAAAGATGACGTCACAAGAGGGTTTAGACCAACGGCCAATAGGAGGGAAGGGTGAATGGAAGACGACGAATAGGAAGCAAGGAACAAAAAAGGGGGGGGTTAGTTAGGTTTTATCATAGATTTCCAAACAGGAGAAATATAAGGAACACTTGATAGGTCATTGACCAACAGTTTGGAATTTTTGAAAATATGATAAGACTCATAAAAATCTAAATCATATATTGAGGAACAATTTTGAATGACTTTAGAGGAGGAAAAATTAAAATTAAGTCCCAACAATGTCATCTATTGCCCAACATTGTTGGGACTCTAATCATAAGACAGTGTTCTGGAACGTTTTACAAATTATAATTTTAGGCACCTTATGGCATTGCTTATCCATAAGATGTATGTAGATTTGACCTTCAACTCAAAATGAGATACATATGACTCACATCCACACGATTTTTGATGAACAAGAGGGGAAAGAAATGGTTCTGAATCACATTCTTTATGAATGCTCTTTAAAATCAGTATGTTGTACAACTCTGATTCAAATTATTAGAATAATTGAAAAATTCAACTTAAAAAGTCACTTACTTTATTTGTTTTTTACTTTCATTTTATAAATTACAAATTTAACGAGTCAATTGAAAAAATTATCAAAATTGAGAAATTTATCAAAACAATCAAAGTTAATAATGTCAAAATTTTAATGGGAAATAAATACTGAAAAAAAATTGTTACAAAAATGTCATAAAATAAGAAAAAAATGAAGTATGTAACTAAAATAATATTTTGCATATGTCATTCACCGTCTACATTAACAAATACGGTCATCTTTAGGTAATTTCATGGATTTAGGTTTGACAGGAAAAAAACCTTTGGACTTAGACGTTCTTGTGTAAAAGACTCCAGACCTTAATAATAAACATGCATTTACAATTCCCATCATGAAAAGGTTAATACCATGAATAGTCCACCTATGTAAAATAATTTTTTAAAAATTTCTTTCTGAACTTTAATTAGAATTAATGGGTGAGAAAAAGAATCCTTTTTGCAAATAATTTTTTTGAAAATATTTTTTAAAGAGTTGTTTACTTTATAGAATTTAAATTGAATACAATTTAGTTGTGAAGAAGGATTGTTTTGCTATTGTTTAAACATTAGGGTAATAAGTCTTCTTTTAAACAATATGAAAAAAAATACATAAAAAGTGGCTAAAACTTTCAAAAACGTATGCATAGTGAAAGAATTTTGAAACAGTAATTGTAAATAAAGCATAAATCAGAAATCAATCGCATAATTAGTAAATTATGAGAGCATAATAAGTATTTCAATTTATTTTTTACTAAAATGAATTGAAAATATTAGATTATTCGAGAGAATAGCTATATCTGTAACACCTTAGCTATGTTTTGTCCAAGCCAAAAAAATTTATTTGAGTTTTTTAAATTTTGAACTTGAAGTTGAAGAATATCAGTTAAACTGCTAATGAGAAAATTCACTTTCTTCTAATTTAAATAGACTGTTTATTTCTAGTGTTTCCATTATGTTTTAACTTTTTAAACTTTTAACTGTTTTAAACTTTTTTTAAAAAATTAATGTCCTAATTAAGAAATTTATTTTGTTTTCTCAACTTATTAAATAATAAATTTACTTATTACTTTAGCTAAAGCTATTTTATCCTTGTACTTATACATCAACAGTTTTTGTTGTTAGGAATCGGCACTTTAATCATACATTGTTATTTCAGTAATCAAAGTTAATTATATTGATTAGTTGCCTACTTTTAAAATTTATATTGATCGTTATTGAAAAAGTTAAACTCAAATCAAAATTAAAATTTAATAATTTTTTTCTTAGGTTCTTCGGAGTGTCAGTACTTGGTCAGGTGGTATAAAAACAATGGAACATTCCATTCATACTGCTTATTTAGATGTGATACGTAATGCTAAGCACTATGTTTATATTGAGGTAAGATTTTTACACTCAAAATAAAACTTTCATATGCCTAAAACTTTTTATGCATCAAAGTTTTATGAAAATGTAATGTGGGGTATTAAACCTGAGATTCTGAAATTTGGTAGACCTAAAATTCAATTGCTTTTTTTTACAGCTTAATATTTGTTAAGTGACTTCCTGAAATTCATCTAAAGTCTTAGAAAAATACTGGGGTATAAAAAATAATAACTACCTAAGAATTCAAATATGGTTAGCAGTGTATCAAAATCAGTAACATGTGTCAAAATTCGTTTTACTGTCTGAAAAAGCAAACACATTGTAGCATGAACTTCCATGAATCTCATGTCCGTACCCTCACATACTCGTACATTAAGTATTACTATGTTTTGTTTTACATAATAGCCTATGTCTTGAATTGCACTCCAAAATGTAATGTGGGATGTTAAACCTGAGATTCTGAAATTCGGTAGATCTAAAATTCAGCTGCTTTCTCTTACTGCATAATACTTGTTAAGTGGCTGTTGATTTTGAATTTGAATGGAATTTGACTGAATTTGTCTAAAATCTTAGAAAGATACTAGGGTACAAAAAAAACCTAAGCAATTTGTATTATGTGGCTGCTTTTCCTTGATGCAGGTGTTTGATTCACTCTACTTAAAAGCCTTGATTGTTCAATCATTTCTTCTTATTTTCTTTTCTTGTTTTAAAATTATTTTTTTGTTTTGTTTATCAGTTGATTAAAGGGGATGTTAATAGATGGATAAAGAGATAGAGAATCCATATTTTAAATAGGGACCCGCTTTTAGTATACAGGGACTTAAGTCCTGGCTCTTAAAAACTTGTATTTTCAAAAGTCTAGTGGAATCACTGATTATTTAAGCTTTAAAATTTATAGTTTTAATAAAAAATCAAATAAGGTAAGGTTCTATCTCTTTTTCTTCTTTTTTTTTTGACTAATGTCTAATAACATTATTATCTAACTCCTTCTTAATTTAATTATAACTATGTAATTTGTTTTCAGTACAGTTCCTATTTCCTTTATCCTTATGAGTTGGAGTAATGCGTAAGAAACAAAATTATGAACACATAGTTTTTGCTAAGTAGTAAGTTTGCTAAGTAGTCAAAAGAGTAGTTTACTATTCACAAATATCTTTTAACCTAGAACTCAAAGAATGATTAGTTATTTGGCTGTTCTCTAATGCTTGCTTTTCAATATACCTTTATGTGAATGTGTTATTTCTTTTAATAATTTTATTCTCTATTTTAAATATTCACTTCATTTACTACATATGGAGACTTTTTATTTCACTTCCTTTTACTTAGAATTGCACTGCTTGCTTAGTAGCTGTCACATATTTTTGTATGTATATTTTTTATTTAGAACCAATTCTTTATTACGCAAGCTGCTGGTCACAAAGATGTGTTCAATGGAATTGGTGAAACACTTTATCAGCGCATTTTGCAAGCACATAAGTATGTTTTACTTCCTTTTTTTTCTTCTTGCATGTAGATGACGCTTTTGAATGTCTTGTAAAATGCTTTTTTATAGCTTGAATTGTTATTGAATTTTCTTTTTCACGTAGTTTTCATGGCAGTTTAGTCCAAATTCTTTACTGAAAACTTTATGAAAACATTTTTCATTAGTTTAAATTTTTTTGGTCAATATAATGCAATTTTAATGTTTCCATATCGTGTACATTCCTTTGATGACGAAAATGTTTTTATAGTCAACTTTAATACAAACAAATTTTTATTGATATTTTATGGTAAGTTCTTAGTTTTTAAAATAAGGTGTGTTATTTATTTTTGGAAAAAAAACATGTGAAAAAATGAAGCTGTAGCATTGTTGCTGATAAATATTATATGTACTACTTAGGTATGTTTATAAAGATACTTTTCTTGTACCTTTGTTTTTTTTTCAATGACAAAGAATGAAGTATGCAAAGTACATTGGACATGGCCTACAGATAATTCGTGGTCTTTGTTTAATAATTTGCTTTACAACGTCAACATTAGCAAAAGATTCTATGTTTAGTAATTTTATTTGAAGCTTTGTTTATTATGTATATTTATTTATTAAAGCACTATAACTGTATTCAGACAATTTTCAATGTTTATAAGAATGTTATAAGATCTGTTTTTATTTTTGAAATGCTTCTTAAGTAGAGCTTTCAAGCAGCAGTTTGTATCTATCTTTTTAATTTGTATTTTCGACACTTAATATTCATCTTTTATAATAAAACCGTTTCTGTATAAAGCCACAAAAGATTTTTTACTATCTCATTCTTTCTCTCTCTGTATATATATATTAGGGGGACCGGAAAGTAATGTCATTTTCTCGCATTAAATATTCGTTAGTCTTAAAAACCAATTATTTTTCTCAATCAATTCCGATTCATTTTCAATCTGGCATTGAAAGTTAGTTGCTAACAAGGATGAATGCATTATTGATTAAAAATAAATTCCTGATAACAAATATCAAATACACCTAAACCACATTACTTTCCGGTCCACCTAATATATATATATACTCATGCACATGCATGTATTTATATCTATTCTTTTTTAAATATTTTCCTAGGGAAAAAGAGACCTTTAGAGTGTTTGTTGTCATGCCCCTGTTACCTGCTTTTGAAGGAGAAATAGGTACTGGAACTGGTACAGCTATTCAAGCCATTACACATTGGAACTATGCTTCTATCTGCCGGGGAGTAGACTCGTTATATCAGAGGTTACAGCGAGAAGGTATTTTAACACACTTAAGTTATTTTTTATGTTTCAATTTGTCAGCATTTTAAATCTAGTGATTAAATTAAATATTTTAATTATTTCATTTATTTAATAAAATGTCATTGATTTTAATCATCAATTCTTTAAGTTTTTAAACAAGTAAGATGTTTAGAAAATTAAGAGTTATTCTAAAGTTACAAAATAATTTAATACTAACAATAAACCAGCTTTTGCATTATATTTTTATAGATGCTGTCTGATAATAAAAAAAAACAAGAAAAGTGCAAAATTTTTTTAAAGCAAAGTAAAAATAAATTTAATAAAATGTACAGATTTTGTTGCCTTTCTTATATTTTGTGTTTGTATTTAATGTCTGAATGTATCTGTATAATAAGATTTTTTCTTCCTTTTCAATATCTTTGAAAAATACATTTTTTAAAACTTAAAAGTTTTAAACTTAGATATTTTCAGATGTTATGTAATAAATATAGATATGATATTATGAGCTTTGATATTTTTAGAAACTATGCTACTAGTTAATATAATTTCTGTTTGGAGGAGTTCTAATTGAAATGAGGATAAATTTTGTCCATTCGACAATTATTACATAGTTATAATAATTTACATTTGAATGTGCATTAGTTATATTTCCTAAAATAATCTTATAAAGATTTATTAATTTTAAAAACTTTTTATACTTGATAATTTTACTTAACAATTTAATTTAGAAAGAATTGAAAACAATTAAAATTTAAAAAGGATCGTATTCTAACCAAAAGACTATCTCTCTCTTTTTGAAATATCATAATTTTTCTTAACACTTGTTGTAGCGAATACAAATGAATTTGCTAAACAGTCAACTCCCAATTCAGTGCTTTGCAACTTACCCATTTTGTAATTTTATTATTATTACCATTCTTTGTTTTTAAAAATTATTAATATTATGATATTAAAAGTAAATCTACAACTATTGAGTACGAAATATACCAACTAAGAATCAAGATCAAAAGACAGAAATTTTAAGTACTTTTTCTCATTATGGATGATTTTAAGTGTTTAAATTTTTTTTTTTTAGTTTATTATTTTCTTTCAATGATGGGGCTTTGAAATTTAGTCTTTTTACGATCAGCGTCACCACTGAGCCTCAAAGGGTCAGTGGTTCGGGCACTGCACTAGTGTTCAATAAGTGGCATCTTAAAGCCCACTGAACTTGAGATTGATGGGGTTTGGCTCAAAACTACAAGGCTATGAAATTGAACATTGGTAGCCATAAGCCCAGAATTGGACCGGCTGTTCAACGACGGTTATAAAATAAAAATAGGTACCAGCTTGTCTGTAAAGTGAAAGTGGCCTGTGCGTAATTCTGGCCAAATTTTCTATGATCATGCCATTGGTCAATGAAATTATGTAGCCTTAACCTCTGTGACCCCCAGCTGACAATATTCTGTTGCGGGAATGATTTATTTGCAATCAGCAGAATATATTTAAATTATGCATTGATTAAGTGTTTTAATGCTTATTAAATTTTTTTCATGTTATTTTTTTTAATCTTTAGTTTTTTCATTGATTTTGAATACAACTGACTGCTAATCTTAAAAAGTATTCTAATTGATGTAAGATGAACATAGATTTCTATCAGTGATCATTAAAATAATCCACTGGCGGTTTAGCAAATGGGCAAAATTGAGGGAATGTTTCTCCCCAATACACTATGTCTCTATCTAATAGAATGGAAAAACCAGTTTTGGTTTGGGATGAAGACTGCAGGCAAGGGCGCCGGCAGAATAATATAAAAGGGGGTGCAACCCTCTAACAAACTCCCCCCCCCTCGAAAAATTTTTTTAAAAAATATTCTGTTAATACATTTTGTTTTGTTATTACGTATACTTTCATCTGTTAATTTTTTTCACCATACATTTCCTCATTATTAACTAGATATTTAAAAAAAAATACAAATTTCTCGTACTTGTAAATTTTGCCACGGGAAACTGTATTGATGTCGCTGGCATAGCTAGTGACTTTGAAATACAAATAACTACAAACAGTAGTTTCGTATACTAACGTGTTTGTGCATGTTTAACGTTGATATTTATTGTGTTGATGAAGTTTTACAGTTGTGAGAAGTCAGTTTGTGTTATACACCTTTGTTAAACTAAATAACTTATAGAAAATATAATATTATTTATATTTTATTAAATGAAATTTAAAAATGCAGCTTAGATATCTACCAAGTTTGTGCATGCTCAGTGTGCATTAAAAAAGAATCAAAGGTGACTCAGAATTCATTGAAAAAGTTATAAAAAGATTTGGATAACAAGCAAGACGATTACAATTATTGTTTGATTAGAAATTTTTTTAATTGTTATGTATCAATACTTACTTAATTATTTGTTTTTGAATAAAAATATTTTTAATGAAAAAATTTTATTACAAAATTGTTGTTCTGTATCTCTTTAATTGTTTAAAAAAAAGCCAGGGGGGTGCAAGTGCACCCTCTTGCACCCCGCTGCCGGCGTCCTTGACTGGAGGTAAAAATACGATTTTTTTACGTGCAGTGGGTTAAGCATAAGACAGTTAAAAAAATTTACAAAAATAAAAAAAAGTATTGCGGATTTAAAAATCCAAAAATTTCTTAAAACTTTAAAAAAAAGCTAAACTATATTGCTAATTCTGAAAAATAAATTATTGATCGTCAATTAAGCGTGCATACATAGCAACCAAAAAAAATTTTTTTTTTACTTTTATTGAAAAAAAAATATCATGCGGATTCTGTTACCCCTTTCATGTTCTAATAATCAAGTATAAAATAAATATTGTAGAGAAATTAAACTACTTATCCTGAAGAAGAATGTATGAATCATGAGTGCAAGAGAAGAGGTAATGCATTTAAGTGTTGGTAATGAGTAGAAATAATTGAAATCGATTGGAGATTCACTGCAGTTCATCTTCACTTCTTTATAGCATTGTTTTTTTCCAAGCAATGCTATATTAAATTGGATTGTTACCCAAGTGGATAAAGTTTAATTCCTGCTTGACACCTTAATATGATGGAAAATCCCACGAAAAATTTATCTACCCTTTTCAGATATAGGTTTGTGATCGTGTAATGAGCTGTTTGGGCTATCAAAATATCAGAATAACCACTTAAATCAGATAACAAATTGAAAAACTCTGAAAATTTTATGCGCAAAAAATCAATAACAAGATATCAATTTATATACTATTGATATTTAATCTAAATTTTTGAACTAAAATTTATAATTAAATTACCCACCAATGAAGAATATCACGCCTTTATAGTAACTAATTTAAGAAAAAACTTGGCTGTTACAATAATCGTGGTATTGGGTTTTAAAATCGCGTTAATGTGTTTCTCGATTTTGGATTTTAAGAGCGCGAAAATACAAATTGCGATATGGGATTTTTAAGTCGCGTGTGAATGTGAATCGCGATGCATAATTTTTAGATCGTGTGAATACGAATAGCGATGTTGGATTTTTAAATCACGTGAATACGAATCGCTTTAAATCTCGTTAATACTAATAATGTGTAGCTTTCAAATCAGGTAAATACGAAAATCGATGCTTGATATTAAAATTCCGTGAATAGGAATCGTGATATTAGCGATTTCTGGAGTTGTTTCAAATATTAAAAAACAGTGAAAATCCAACAAATCGAAAGGGAAAAAAATCAAATTGGCGGAAGAATCACGTGTATGAAAACGTCTCGTTAACGCGATTTAGCGAATGTTTCAAAATTTAAATATTTGATTGCAGAACTCTTGATTTTTACTTTAAATTTCAAAACGCTATCAAAACTTTTTGACTATTGATCTTGAGACCCTCACAAAAAAAGCATACCCTACTCCTAGTTTCTAGACCCAGAAGGTGATACAGAATTCCAGGGTAAACCCCTGCAATACAGTCTTATCTTTATTTTATTAATAATTAATAGAATACAATCACCCCTGCAATAAAGAAAAATGAGTTCTCAGCAAGGTTCATTGATTTAAGTCAACTAATTTGTGTGTGTGTGTTTTTTTTTAAAATCATTCGTTTAAATTGTTCTTTTTTTATTAAAAAAAAAATACCCTTGATTTTAAAAGTTATGAAGCATTTAAATGTGTGATATTTTAAATGATGAACTTTGTTAGTTTTAAAATTTATTGTTAAAATACTATGTTAATAAATTTCAATAAGTGAAATTACATTATTTTTTTGGTGTGTAATAAGTTAGAGCATTTTTGAAATGATATTTTTAAAAATTCTTATGGATTTTTCAAAGTGCAACAAAGAACTAAGAACAAAATAAAAATTTAATCTTTTTTTAATGTATCTGTAAGAAATAATTATTGAAAATGGATTTTTTAGTAAAGAAAATAATATAATTATAAACTTAATTTTTTAATGCATCTTTAAAAAATTCACAAAATCCAATTTAAATTTTAAATAAAAATCTGATTTAAATGAAATAAATTGCTTTTTTTTAAATCAGAAACCGTCTCAAACCCTGGTTCTCAGGCACACAAAATCTTCTTTTTAATAGGAGAATTATTTACTTGACACTTCACTTGTAGCACTCAATTTAGTAAATATAATAAAAGTGCAAATCACATTTATGACCAATAATTTTATTTGTGTTATTTGATTAATCTAAACACTTTTTTACATCTTTTAGTTGGTGATCCCAGCGCATACATTACATTTTATGGCCTCAGAACTCATGATATTATAAATGAAAAAATTGTAAGTTGATCCTCTTTAGTTTTTTTCTTCATGTGTGTAAAATATGTCCCTTTTTAATGTATTCCATTTATAACATCTATTTGTTAGGTATCTGAACTGGTCTATGTTCACAGCAAATTACTGATCGCTGATGATCGAACTGTCATCATCGGATCTGCGAACATCAACGACAGAAGCCTGTTGGGAAATCGAGATAGTGAAATTGCAATGATATTTGAAGACGTTGATTTTGAAAATGCAATCATGGATGGAAAACCATATCAAGCGGGTCATTTTGCTTGCAGTTTAAGACGAACCCTGTTTAGGTAAAAGCGTTTTCCTTTCTCATTGTGTAGCTTGCATTAAATGTAATTCTACTAATTTGTGATGTAATAATATTTACATAATGTATCTACTAACTTTTACTCTCTGTCTAATGAATTTTTTTAATTTTTTAAATTTTCAAATTGCTTCTAAAGTTACAGTTATTGTTTTTCAAGTAACAGTAGGCCTTAACCTTCCATTAGCTATCACAACACCATTGAGTTTAGTTAAGTTTTTTTTTTATATTTCTTGCCTTTTTTTTCTGCTTCTCCATTATTTTACATTTAAAAAAAATTCTCTCTAATGATATCTTTTTTAGTGTTCGATGTTTAGACTTTTGTCTTTAGTTTAATATTCAAGTTATAATAGTTATTCACACTTAAGTTTTTATGCTGTTAAGTTTTCGAACTAGACTTATTTTTTATTTAAATTTTTATAATGTTCAGAATTTTCTGCTTAAAGATCCTCTGTAATGTAAATCCTATGGAAGACATTCAGTACCATAAACATATTGTAGTTCTTCGGAGGTTGCATTGTCGTGGTCAAAAACTGTTTTCTTGTGTGCGTATATATATATATATATATATATATATATGCAAAGCTGTTGCTGAGAGGAGGAATAAAAACAGGTCTTAGGCAGGGAGATAGGATATCAATATTTACTTAACCATTATTAATGGAGAACAATCATTCAAGTGACACACAAATCGAAGTGCTCTCCAATAAAAATTAGAGGAAATCCTGCAAAGTTGTCCCGTAATGTTTTATCTTAGAGGGAAAGATGAAAACCTGGATAATTACAATTGTTGTATAAAATAGATAGAGAGAAAAGTATGTTTCTCACATTTATTAAAGGGAAAACAATAAAATGTTAATTAATGCATAACTTGAAGCCAAAAGTAGATTAAATGACTGAATGTGAATAATAAAGTGTGAGAAAGGGTTTAGTTTTTAATGTTAAGTAAGGAAGAAGATTTCGATAATGGAATAACTTTAACTTAAAAAGATTATAGTTGAAACTTTTTATGTTACGTAAAAACTTCTATGACCTGTAGCAGGATTTTTAAATCTAGAGAGAGGGTTATAATTTTCATATACCTTTTTTTTCCTTTTTTATGGTAGTAAGTATGATACTTTTAATATTTTTCAGAGAACATTTAGGACTTCTAGATAAAAGTTGCAAGACTATTGATATCCGTGACCCAGTCAGTGAGACCTTTTATAAAGAAGTCTGGATTAAAACTGCTGCTTTAAACACTTCCATTTATGAAAAGGTAATTTCAAAATCCATTTAGCCTACAAACTTTTACATTTTGTTAATTCTTTATGTACTAGTTGAAATTACTAGGTTCTTTTACAATGTACTTTTACAATGTACTTTTCCAAGTACACAGAAAGTGTATTTACGTTACTGTGATTGACCAATATTGTTGTTTATTGACTTCCCGTGTATGTTGACAATTATATGGTCGCTTTGGTTGTTGTTGGCGTATGCCTGTTAAGGCAGAGGGGTGCATTGTTCTTGTTTTCTAGTAGCGCCATCCATGGCCAAGAGTTCGACTTCTGCCACACACATACGTCATACACGTTTATAGGGTGTGACCCATTCATTCATCCACAGATCATCATTTTGACCTGAATCAGAGAACGATCAATCTCCAATTCAGTACCCCCAGAGGTATTGATTGGTAGCTTTGGTGAATGTCAGAAATATATACTTGGTTTAGTTAAGTGCCATTGCGCGGTATGCCCTACATCAATGTTTTTTAAGATTTAGGGCCACTGCCTGGTATATATTTGAAAGGTATGCCCTACATGAATGTTTTTTAAGGTCAAATGCACTGCCCAGTATGCATTTATCCAGTACTGTGAACACTGTTACTCCTTATCTATCCTCAGATGATATTAAAATATCGAATAAATGTAATAATCTCAACAAATAAATTAATATCTAATGGGCTATAACAAATATTTCGTACATTCACCAAAGGGAATATGTGATTGTTGACATTCAATGGTGGAATTCGACATTCTCTTTGATTTTGGTCATTCACGGTACATGTACACTTTAGACTTTGCTTATAAAATTTTTATACTTTTGAAAAGAAATATTAATTTTTTTGAAAATTGTTTCATTCTAATATATTTATGACTATGATACTTGTGTATTCTATTTTATGTTTTTACGACTTAATTATACTTTTTAATAACCTCACAGTCTTAAATCATACAAAATTATTCATATAATTTCATTACATCATATGANTAATAAAATCAAAAGAGCATAAAACGAAAGTGATTTTAATAAACGGCGGGCACTGTATCTCATATGAAAAGCTTTATATATGTATTTTTAAAGTTAAATATATTAACTTCAATACATTTGTATTTTAAAACTTTTTTAGCGTTCCTTGGCCACTCTTAATTTCTAGCCCTGTTAAATAGTCTCTTTCCATTCACACTTTTTGGATTTTATTATTTTTCTTAATATTTAAGTTCAAATTTATTTGTCAACTTTTTTTTTCTATATGATCTTCTCTCACTTTACTTAAAGTATTCTTGTATTTACGTTAGGTATTCTTGTATTTATTTTCAAACATTAAACATTAGTTTTATCTTTTGGAGTGTGGGTAAGGGAATCAATAATTTTACTGTGATGATTTGCATTATTTATTGCTGTTATCATAGAATTTTATATCTAATAAAATCTGGAATAAAATTTATAAAATTATCAAAAATATATAGATTTATGTTTGTTTTGATAAATTTCCTTGAAAATTACATATTATATTTTTAATTTAATCTAAATTAAAACTTTTAGAAACTAGCCAATTATTTATTTTTAAAATAGGTAGCCAGTTAAGACTATTATATCAACTAACTGAATAATTTTAACCTGTGAAGACTCAGGAAAAAAAAACTGAAACTGAAAATAAGAAAACTAAAGCAATATACCATTCCTTTACAATGATTGTAGGTCCTGAGGACTAATAATAATTTTTTTTGTGATAATCCGAGTCAAATATTAGCATTCCTTGACGACTCTTAACTTCAAATCCTGTTTAATAGTCTCTTTCCATTGACATGTGTTCCCCTTTGAGGATTTCATTATTTTTCTTAATATTTAAGTTCAAATTTATTTGTCAGCTTTTTTTTTCTATGTAACTCTTGTGTTTACTTAAGGTAATTGTATTTTTACTTTTCTTTGAGTATTCGTGTATTTCCTTTACTTTAAGTATTCTTATATTTACTTTAGGTATTCCGCTGCATTCCCTCTGATGAAGTTCGAAGCTTTTCTGAACTCAAGGAATATCTTAGCAAACCAGGTATGGTGATATCTGACCCATCTTCAGCTAGCAGTTTACTCTCCAATGTCCAGGGACATTTGGTACTCTTGCCATTTTTCTTTCTCTGTAATGAAAACTTAACTCCATCTGCTCGAACTAAAGAATCTCTTATGCCTGTCTGCCTTTGGACATAGATCATTATAAGAAACTATATTATTTCTTTATCACTAATAAGTTTACAATTATTTTTGTTTATGAATCTGTTTTTTTTTTGACAATAATTTTCAAGGAACTTTTCTAAAAACCTTTGGCTCCAATTCAGATGTTTGTTGGCAGATAATTATAAATTATGAAAAGTATAATGATCAATGTCACCTTTTAATTACCTCAATGTGTGATTTAATTAAATAAAAAGTCTTCCAATTCGAAAATTTAATATTTTTGCAAAATTTCTTGACCATTCTGGAACATGACAAGTCAATAAATTGTTTTTGATACTGTTAAAGATCCAGAATTAATTTCTTCTCTGAACTTTAATTTCGAATTTATTTAGATATCAGAATGCAATTGTTTTTCATGTTCGTTTTTATACTTATGTTTCCAACTTATGACAAAAACTTTTGATTTTTTGTTTATAATTTCTATTTTATTATTTCTTAATACAACTATATAAACCATAGTGTAAATACTTTATGTATGTTACACTACCTTTTGGCTTATTACCTGATAGTTTTGGTTTGTAAATTTCACTATATATAACTAAACTGAGAATATTTGCTTTAAAAACAAATAAATCGAAAATCTGAACGCTTTTAGTGAAATGATAACGAATTTTTCCTGAATTCCTATTATTTTTGTTTCTCTGGCTTGCTGTAAATAATATTTTAGATAAATTTCTTGGAAACTCGATCATTTAAATAAATTAAAAGTAATATATCATTGATTAAAAATGGCAATCATTTTTATGAAAATTTTTAGATTTAATTTTGATTAACTGGAATAGTAAGGAATTAAAAAAAAATGTTTTTCAATTTATTCCAATAAAGAATGTACAAAGATTAGCTCTAAAGAATCCTCTGTAATATTTAAAAAATTTTAATTGCTCATGTTATCTAGAATAGATTCTTGTTAATGTATATATGTTATCTTATATTAATTACGTTTTCTGAAACAGTTTTAAAGTCTAATTATTTTCCCTCTTGTTAGAGATACTGAAGAAATCTCTTTGTTTCCCCTTGATCTTTATATATATTGTGATAACATGTTTTTGTTAAAATGGAAGTTTTGTATTAATTATAGTTAAATGTTAAGTAGAATTGTTAATTAATGAAGAAACTTTGTTGTTGTTATACAGAGTTGTTATGTAGTAGTCGCCTTAATTATATCTGCCTGTTTTTTTAAGCCTTGCCAAAAAATGAAAGAAAAATCTACACATTAGTTGTCGCTAATTAATAATTTCAATAGCATTTTTGTTTTTTCCTTACTTAATTATTAGTTTTTGACTTTTAATATGTATAATAATTTTTACTCTATTTTTGTTGCGGATTTTAAAAATATAGGTTAAAAACGGTTACTACACAGCAGTCTGTTTTATTGATATTGTTGATATTCATGCGTTCTACAAGTGTTAAAGTTACATTACGAAAGCATTGTGAAAGTTTTTGGAAAAAAAATCGGGGTTACCAGGATATTTGAGAGGCCTTGAATTTTGTTAGAAAAATTGGAGCCTCGAAAAAGTTTTGAATTTTACGATAGAGTGTCCCAAAAGTTTTTAATTTTCGCAAAATAATTTTCAAAAAATAACTAAATAAATAAAAATAATATCTTTCGTACGGAAAAACATGAAATAAAGCTTAAAATGGAAGTGATAGATATTCAGATTACATCCCATCTCTATGCTGTTTTGTTTGCTGAAAAGTTAACTAAGCGAGAGTCTAGGAGTCTGATTTAACTTAGAAAAAGACCATTTTCCTTCTTTCTTTCTTTCCTGTGATTGGATGACAAAATGCAAGTAAGGTGTGGGGGAAACCAAAAGTGAAATTTTTTTTTAACCAGACCACGTCTAGTATTAGCCACTTATAACCACGTGTAGCATGCATTAATTTTCTAGCAGTTTTTTTAAAACTGTTTTTTATTTTATTAAGGTGCAAAAATTAAATATTATTATTTTGATTTGGGTGGAAAAGGAGCCAAATTCCCACATTTTTTCCTTTTCCAATACCTGGTGATTTCTGATCAATGCAATTTTTAATGCTATCAATTATGAAATGTAAAGAAATTTGCACTGAAAAAATTTTATGAGAATTTTTTGTGTTTTTGTTTCATTTTAAATGTATTTATTGTTGTCTTAATTTCATTATTACGGCGGGCTACTACTGTTATCCTTCATATAATTAATTTTTGAAATACGGATCATTAATTTTTTTATTGTTTATGTCCAAATTTTTACATTTAGTTTTTACCATTAATATATAAAAATATAAAATTTAGTTTTTCAGATTCCCCGAATTTTCAATAAGACATCATGATTCTCATTAAAATGATAAATGATTTATACATCAGGATTCGTATTAAGTGCTCTACAAATCGCGATGTGCTTAAAAGTTTTCAAGTAATCACACATCAGGATTCGCATGAAAGGAATTTACAAAACATGTGTCAAAGATTGCATTATAGTGAATTGCAAATCATGCATTGCAATTCTCATTTAAGTGATTTATGAATCACGCTTTAAGATTCTAGTATTAGAAGAATTTAAATATTGTGCACTGCGACTCGCATAAGATGCATTTCAGAATTACCATTCATGATTAAGGATTTGATTTTAATTGCTTATTGAATCAAAAACCGCTATTGGTATTAAAATGTTTACCAAATAAAGCATCGCTATTTATATAAAAATGATTAACGAATCACACATTGTGTTTCGCATTAAAATGATTGGCGAATCATTCAAGACGTTTCACATTAACCATGCATCACAATTTATGATTTGTTAATTTGTGCATTTTATCAATTTGTATCATTTGCTCTTCATACTAAACATTTATCGCTATTAAATTTCAATATTCAAGTCACACATTGGGATATCTAATTTAAGCAATCTTCGAGTCTTTTTGCTTCATATAAATTTGATTTAACTCCTGAACAATCGGTTAATTTTCAAGAAAATTGTCATAAAAATGCCTGTTTTTTCATACCCGTATATTGTACGCGTATTGATTAGTGCTGCCATCTATTTTAAAATAAACTGTTTACAATTACCTTAAAAATATCCTGGTACTGCCATCTGGTGTGTAAAATGAGAAATAAAATGCTTTCTGGTCAAAAGAAATGAATTAATTTTATTCTTATTGGCACGTTACTACTGAACACTCCAACCCGGAAGCATCACGGGAGCGAGAAATAGAGGGCAAAACCTTACCCTGTCATTTTCATGGGAGGGAGAAGGAAGGGGTTAATGTATCACATCGCGATTCATATACATGTGATTAAAAAATTACTCACAGTGAATCACAGTCACAAAATTTCAAAAATCATCTCATTATCTATTTTTTAAAAAATAAAGCTTTTAAGCCTTAGTTTGTTATCTGTAAAATATTGCATTACAACAAATTTTGTTATAAAAATGCATAACTGATATCCTGAGATAACAAAAATAGATAGTGTGTTTATCAACTTGAAACAGATCTGCTAAAATGATACATTTTGGTAAATTAACTAATAATTAGTAATGATTTGATGTATTAACTTGCTCATTTTCTATAATAAAATTTTATTTAACTAATTAAAAGTCTTAACATAATAAATTATTTGTTATTATGTTTGTGTAATGTAATATTATTTTTGAATTAATTTTATGCTTCGTTAAATTTTTCATGAAAAGTTTCATTGATGCTAATTTTTAAAATTGCAAGCATACAATTGTTAATTGAAATTGTTTTTTGATAGTCTTCAAACTTATTTGAAGCAGAAACATAACTATCTGATACTGATGCATAACTGACAAACATAACTGATTTGAGCAGTAACATAAAGCATAGCTGGGGGCTACACATATTAAACAATGCTGCAACTATTAAACTATTTAAAATTGATGAACTTAATGTATAAATTCTTTTTTTGTTGTTGTCAACTAAGCATTGTGCTTTTAAAATATAGAATTTCTATGTAATTATAAAATCTGTTTGATAACATACTAACTATATTAGTAGTAGGACTTACTGAGGGCCCTAAACACAGAGGTCCCTTACTTTTAACCAAATTTACATGTTGTTTAATTATGAAAAGCTTTTAAATTATTTACAGCATAAGTAAATTACAATAAATTAGTAAATTTAAGGTAATTCTAATTTAAATTTTTGTTAGCTATGTATATGCATATTAGTTGAAATCTATTTTCATATTATAATATGCGATACTCTAACCACTTATCTAATTGTCTTAAAATATGTCTATGTGTTAAATTTGTAGTTTGCCATATAACAAAACAAAACAAATCCATAAGTATGTACCAAAAAATTTGTGTGTACCATTTACATACATAAAAACTTTGAAACTACCTCAATAAAATTTTGACGAAAGCTTTCTCATTAACCCTATGTGCCTAAAATACTTTTAGATATTTTTTTACTAAAATACTTTTTAAAAAAAATTGGTAGCAATGGTATTTTATTATAAAAAATTTTTCAAAAGCAATATAGATATATTTATCATTATGTATTATTAATATAAACATTTATATGTTGTTTACTCGTAGCCCAGTACTTTTCTAAAGCTAAAGTGGTAGACAATTGGAAGAAATATCCACTTTGTATAAACAAAAATCTACTGCTGCTTTTTTGCGTTTTTTCTTCATACATTGATCATATTTAATGATCAGTAATAGGTTATTCAATAACTTATTCACATCATAACTTGCTTAAACAAAACCAGAGGTAATTTTTGTGTTTAAGATAATGTATTAATTGTCTAAACTTGTATACAAGATTGTATTTTTTTATTTTAATATGTGAGCTGAAACAATTTTTTAAAAGAAAGATGCAAAAACAGAAGATGCAAGTTTTTACTAATATTATTTTAAATTCAACTTCTAATGACACTGTATCTAATTAGAATCTTTAATATTTTTAGTAACAGAAACCCATTTAATGTATATATCCTAAAAAAATATTTAAATTAAAATATTTTAATATGTCTGAACTCTGTCTTCATTTTATATAAAAAATACAGTGACAAAAACTAATTTTGCAAACTTGATGTGACTTTTAAATGCTTTTAATTAATCAGTATTTTTGTACTTCTGCTCAAATATTACTAGGCAGCTTCTAACAAAATTATCTTGGCTGTACTTCAATTTTGCATGAAAGTACTTACAGATGTGGTGTATTTACGTACTGAACTTTTGTTCTTTTTCTGTAGTAATTATTCTTCCAGCATGGCATGTTCTTAACAATGAGTCGATTTACAATAAAATTTAGAAGAGATCTGAGTAAATAACGTGTTGTAGTGATACAATAGAAAATGAGAAAATTATGAAGCGCTTGAGCATTGTGCTGGGTATCTCAAAATGATTGATGATCTGTAAAATTAATTTTTGAAAAGTTGAAGGTGAGGAAAAAGTATAAATTTGCTGTGTTCTGCATAGAATTTTTGAATTTATTCTCGCTAAATTTCAAAATTAATTGTAAAGTTTGAGGGAAGATGAGGCTGCTGGCTGAGAAAAAAAAACATTTTTTTCTGCTGCTTGTTTGATATTTTAAAGAGTAATGATTACTGTGGCATTTGTTAATTTTGTTTTTAGACGCAGACGGATCCAAATAGTGGCTGTTTTGAAAACATTGTTTCATAGTTTTTCTTTCTTAGCAGTGCCACCTGTTGTTGAAATGTGCTACTAAATTTGAAATTTGGTGAGAATAAATTTTTTGGTTTCCTAAAAGGACATAGTAAAATGTTTATTTATATCTTTTGTTTTTCAATTTTTCAAAACAGACACTGTGTTGGTTTAAAGTTCCAGTATGCATTACTACACACTGTTATTATTCTCAAATCACCTTATTTTTGGATGGAAATTAATGAAAATTATGTTCAGTCTACAGATCCTGGCATGTTTGCGTGGTTTTTTTCACAAAAATTTCACTTAACATGTTCATTTTTTCTGCTCTTCAGTGTAACCTTACTAAAGCTTTTCTAGTCTATTGATACTTTTAAACCTAGTCTTTTCTGTTGCCATTTATAATCCTTTCATTTCTGTAAAAAAAAAAATTTGTTCGCCTTAACATACCATTGTCCAGTTTTATATTTCCTTTCTTGGAAACTTGACTCAATTTGTTCTTTCATTATGTATTATGAGTGTTTGTTGTTTTAACTCCCTTTTACTCATTTAGATTTAAAACAAAATCATTCAATATTTTAAAACTTCAGTTATTCGTATTGAGATTACAAAGGGCATTTTTTGCAGTAGAAAATGACTGTGATATATATACATATTTGACAATAGGTCTTTTTATACTATGAAATCTGTTATGCTATTTTCTAATCATAGCACAATGTTAGCAATCAATGTTTATTGTGTGTTTAATAATTAAATTTTGTATTTATTGCTCAAAATTTATTCATTTCTTTTTATTAATAATGTGAAGTTTCTTCCTGTTATATACTATTTGATTTGGTGCTGTTTTTTCTCCGGAGGATTGTTTAGTTCATTTTAGGATATATTAGAATCATTCTGAGAGAATTCATCATATTCACAATTATACTAATGTAACTATACATTAAATATGCATGCATATTCATTTTAAAACATGTTATACATTTTTATTTTTAAACAAGATAATCAAATATTATATTTGTTGAATCTCATGTATTTTGTTTTCAAAGTATTTAACTATCATTTTTATGTACATTATTTCTTTCTTATATCTCACAAAGTTTAATAAAATTGTTAATAGTAGAACTCTTTTAGTAATATATTATGAAATGCTAGATTTGGTGCTATTAAAAAATAATAATTGACGTAATGTATATGTTTTTTTTTTTAAATTCTTCAAAAACATGTTTAATTTATTATTTTTAAATATTATATGCTTTCCTGAACATTTCAATCAGTAGTCTTCAAATTAAGAAGAAAAAAAAAAGACTGTTAGTTCATAAAAGATTGTCAAACTTGAAAACTTATTTGTTAAGTTCAATTTTTATTTATTAACTTCGATTGTGATAAAAAAATTAAAAAGAAAATTTTTGAATTGAGAATTTCAAAATTGTTTTAAAGGCAAGTAGCGGTGAATAAAATCTTGATAGAAATCCCCCCCCCTGTGGATTATGAATATGATTGGGACAAGAATGCTCCTCTCCCTATTTTCAATGTTATAGCGAAATTTTTCCTTATTTCATTTCATTGCTTAGCAACCATAGAGTTTAAATCAAAGAATTTTATTAAACTCATCTCATTGGGATTGTTTCCTATTTATCGGCACAGATTAAAAATGTCTCTGTTGAGACATGAGGTCCTATAATCAAAAGCCACATTGCCTTGAAATTGATATTTATTCTTTCTTGACCAGTCATTCATTTAAGTATAAGTTTTCAAAATATAATTAGAATAAAATTTTTGTTCTTTGCAAATAATTTATTACTGTGTAAAATTTGTCATACTTACTCATTAGCAACAGGTAAATTCTGGTTCGATCATGCTGTAGAATTTTGCAGCTATCGATAAAAAAAATTATTGACGGATGAAAACATTACGAAAATTTATAAATATAAAATAAATGAGCAAGAACTTTTTAGTTAGCAAATGAAAAGTTCTTGGTTACATGCAATAAAAGTTACATCAACTTGGGAGCATATTCTAAAAAGAAAGGGATACTTATTTACCCTGTCACATTACTATATTTCAGTAGTTGCAATATTGTTAAAAAAAATTCCCTGGGGGAAGTGGGTGGTAAAAAATGGAAATGATTTCAATAATAATTCAAAATTTACAGTTTAAATTTTTTTAATTATTTCCCTAGAGTAAAAAAAAGAAAAAAAATCGTAAATATTAAATTAAATACTCATACGCACATTTACATATCATATTTTATTAGGTTTATTTATCATATAAGACTTACAGTGAATTATGATTAGTATTTCCTTAAACTTTCAAGTTCAAAGATTTAATTGAACTTGAGAGTTTAATTAAATCATTTTGTTATACTTTTAATATGAGTCAGCTATTTCTTTATTATTAGAGACCAAATTTAGCATTTCATTTATAAAATGAGAAAAATCTGAATTTATTATATAAATGCTAATAAAACTATTTTATTTCAATTACTAATGTAAAAGTCAAATTTGTTTATTATTGTTGGTGGATTGTATATTACCGTATATTTGACTAAACTGTTGTTGTATTCCATATTATATACTGAAATAAATATCATACTATTTCATTTTATTTATTTGAGTGTATTACTTTTGAAAGATATATTTCTCTGGTAGCGTTACGATCCGCAGTAAATTTAAAAGCTGATAAAAACAAATTTATGAAAACTTTAGATAACTAACACAATTACCATCAAATTATCTTTTAATCAAAGATTCTTATGCTGAATATCGGTGCATTAAGTTAATTAAATCCAGTTTGTTTGTTGACCAATAATGATTGTTAAGACCTTTTTTTTCCCTTTGTTCTTATGAAATGCATAATCCCAAGGAAATGAAGCCATTTTGGTGGAAACACATGAGCTTCGGGCTTTTGATTGTTGATGAAACCATTCAATAAAGCCTTGATGAATCATTTGAGGCATTTGGTTTAATCTTCATGTTAAGGTTTTTTTTTACTATCTTCCCCCACAACAATATTGAATACCGTAATGATCCTTAAGAATTAATTGAATAAGGAGCAACCAACACCATGGAACGAGATTTGGGTTTCACTGGTGGAGAAATTGGAGAACGTGGAGGTGATTTTGGATCTGCTGGTTTTGGAGAATGTGGTTTATCTATTACTTTCTGGATCCAATTAAAGTTGGAGAAACAGAATCATTCATGGCTTCTGGGGAACCCTGAGGTATAGCAAGCATCTGCGACACAGGTGCTTCTATTTCCACGTCTGACAATTTCCCTTTCTTCTTCTTCAGTAGTAGTAATGTTAACGTGAATGACCGAAATCAAGAAAATGTCGACTTTCACCGGTGAATGTCTGCAATCACCTAATCGCTTTAGTGAATGTCCGAAATATCTGTCGTATCCGATTTGATATTAATTTATTCATTTATATTATTGAATTTATTCGATATTTTAATACACAGAAATTCTGAATCAACGAACTTGCAGGAACGCCCAGAACGAGAGTCAAACCTGCTGCAGAAACCTAGGGGTCAGTTCCATTGCAATCCATGTACTCCAACCCCAACCGGAAAGCCTGCTCAGCAAACAGCTCGGAACTTAATTCAACTCAACAAAAAAGTTCACTAATGATTAATTATTGTCCAACAGTATATTACAAAAAATAGTATTATAAAACAATTTTAATAAAATGCAATATTTAATTGAACTTCACAAAAATACAAAAAATGATGTACAAAACGTATTAACAAAGAACGTATTTTATTTACAAAAATGAATTGTAATGGGTTCAAAATTTATTTGTAATATTCTAATATGGAATCTTAATCATTGATTCCTTTTTAAAAAATTTTCATACTATGGCTCCCAGTCCTTGTCTTAAATTTGGTGCTTGGTTGAAGTTGCTCTTGATTCTTTCTTTACTGTTGTTTTTCGAATTAAAAAATTCAGAAATATATACTATTCTGTAAAGAAGATGTTGTTGTTAATTTACGTCGCACTAGAGCTGCACAATGGGCTATTGGCGACGGTCTGGGAAACATCCCTGATGATGAGCTTCTCACGAATCCTCACAATTTTGATCCTCTGCGGAGGGGATGGCACCCCCGCTTCGGTAGCCCGACGACCTGCGCGCGAAGTCGAGCACTTTACGGTAGCACAGTTTAACGAGGACCAATACCGCACACCCTCGGTCCCTACGCAGACTGATCCAAGTGGTCACCCACCCGCACACTGACCGTAGCCAGTGATGCTTGACTTCGGTGATCTGCTGGGAACCGTGTCTTAACGATCAGTCCACTGCGGGACATGTAAAGAAGAATATTCTATAACTATTACAGTTCTTACAGCATGCAATCACGAAATCGGAAGTTATGTTAACATAACTTCCGATTGTTGATAATAGAAAGGTAAAAACTATTGAAAAACTCTTCAAATGTTGGGCGCGTTCTGTTCCAGAAATATTTATCAATGTTCTAGGTCGTTTTTTCTAGTTTTTCAGCATCTTCCTTAAGGAAATTTTGCTTTTTATTAGCTGCTAAAATGGCGTCCTATTCTGCTAATGATTCTGATAGAACTAAATAAGAACTTAATAAATAAAAGCCTGAAAATATCTATCCGCTTGAGGGCGTACTTGAGCGATCGTGAAGAATTACGGCCGCTAAAACAGTTCCTTATTCAAAAGGTTACAAGCGTTACTGAAAAATCCTTTTCTACACTAAAAATATAAAAAAGGTTACAAGCAGAGTTAAAAGTTATTTCTTTACAGCAACAACGTAAAATGAAGTGAAATAATTATCTAACAAAAAAATCAACAATCAACATGGCTATTAGTACCAACGGTCGAATAAGTTTATATTGTTTTTGTGTTAATCTAACTGTGTTACTAGTTCCATGTCTAGGATATTTATCACGAACATTAAAACTAGTAGTAGAAGACTACTGGATTATTATGTCACTCGTTTATGCTTTAGGAATTCAGCTACATATACTTACAGTTTACAAAAACAGAGGCTATGCTTATAAAATTGCTTGGCGATCTGGTTTACTTGGTTTCTTTTTCGGATTAGGAATTTTAATCGCCTGTTTAGCTCAGCCTTCTTGGAATACTTTTGGTTTTTACGTGTCACACTTAAGCTTTTTCCATTTTTCGGAGTATCTTACCACTGCAATCATCAATCCTAAATCACTTAGTTTAGATTCATTCCTTTTAAACCACAGTAAAGAATACGTCATGGCAGCTGTTTTCAGCTGGCTCGAATTCTTTCTGGAATGGTACTTTTTCCCAAATTCAAAGGTATTCTCTTTAATTGTAGTCCTGGGTTTGATTATGTGCATCGGTGGAGAAATGATTCGTAAAGGAGCCATGTTTACTGCCAGAACAAACTTTAACCATATTATTCAAAGTCATAGAGAAGAAGGTCACGTGCTGGTAGTGCACGGTATATATGGATGGTGTCGACACCCTTCGTATTGCGGGTGGTTTTTGTGGTCCATAGGTACACAGGTGACATTACAAAATCCATTTTGCTCAATTGTGTACGCAGCTGCATCGTGGAGGTTTTTCAAACAAAGAGTGGTCGAAGAAGAAATAACTCTTTTGAATTTCTTCGGCGAAGACTATGTGAATTATCAGAGGAAAGTCCCCACCGGCTTGCCGTTTATTAACGGTTATAGACTAGAACTTTGAAAATAACAACATTAATTTATTTTGATATGTAAATTCAATTTTATTGCTCCATTTAGTTGTCCATTCTGCTCTATTGTATATGCAGTTGCTGCGTGGAGGTTCTTCAAACTGAGAGAAACAACTCTTCTGAATATCTTTGGTGGTGACTATGTGAATAATCAGAGGAAAGCCCCCCACTGGCTTGCTTTTTATTAATGGTTATAGATTAAAGCTTTGAAAATAACATCATTATTAATTAGTTTTGATATTAAATTGCAGAGATGCGCAAAAGAAAGTGCATAAATAGTCATTTTGTGATTGTTGCTTGATATGTGCCATACCCGTTGCAGCTTTAAATGACTTCAAAACGCTAGGTCTATAATTTTGAAGATGAGCTACCAAAAATTGCTCATTTGTGGATGTATCTGGTAGGTTTTTTTTTTAAAACAAAAAAATTTTTTGAGCAGAATTAATAATTCCCTTGGTTTGTATTTCACTTACTAATTTTACTTATTATATTAAAAGCATATGAGTGCTGCAGTTTTAGCAAGACAAAGGGAACCTGTTCATGCCAAGGTACCAAATGATTTATTAACTTGAACATTTAAAAAAAAAAATTGCATTGTGATTTGACCAGAGGTGGCATTGAGTTATATTCCTCGAGTGGGTCCCTTTTAGTTAGTTTCTTGAATGCTACTCCACAAAAGGTTTTTGGTACAGGTACTGTTAAAAAATCTTTCATAACAGAATATATTAAAACTCACAGTCAAAAGTCTCTGGACCATTGTATGAAGTTTAGTTTTTGTCACTTAATATTTTTCTTAATGACTAAGTGATATAAATCCCATTTCTGTTGTATTATATTGATTCCATGGAAAAGTTTGATACCCTTTAATGAGAGTCTCAACACTAACTGACATAGTAACACTTTCAACAGATATTTTGGTGATCGACAGATACAAATGTGTTGTATAGAATTGAAAGTTTTGAATCATTCTCTAAAGCTTTTTTTTTCTGTTTTAAGATACTGATTAAAGTGTATGTAGATATTTTGGAATTGGTTCACATAACATCACGGTCTTTTTGATGAAAGATTTAAAAGTATTTAAAACTTTTTAAATTTAATGTATTTAAAAGGTTGACTGCCTTATTACTCTGTTTTTTGATTTTTTACAATGAATGAATAAAAATACAATAGTGGGTAAAAAACTTTTTTTTCTTAAAACATTTCTTCTAAAGGTATTATTTTGCACGTAATGATTAATGATATAAAAAATAAATTGAAAAAATTAATTCGAGAATATATGATCAGTGTTTTCATCATAGAAAAAAAATGGGTGAGAATTTCTCACCCTTTCTCAAAAACAGGGTGAGATTTCAGAAAGTTAAGTGAGATTTCTAAAAACTGAAAAAATACAAATAGACTTGAAAAAAAAATTTCTTTTATTATAATACATTTTTAACGCCTAGTATTTATTAAAGCATTGAATATTTTTGCTCCATCATCATAGAAAATTTTTCTTTACTAGGCATTTGTCCATCTTACATTAGTGCATAAAAAAATTTGAACGTCTTACATGAAAAAACCATACCTACACTAAACACGTGGTTGCAGAAAAATGTGTTCTGAAAGGGGTTCCGTGGTTCGGAGGGGTTGTGCTCTGTTGTTCGAAAAGGTTCTGAACAATAATAGTAAATAGTGAAGCTAGATAACGGGGCAAGTGTTGAAAATAATGAAGATCCAGGAAGAAATGTGAAACGGATTTTATTCTAAATGACGTAATTCGAAGCTTTTTCCAAAATGCGAGAAATTCGCGAATTTTGAAATTAATTTTTAGAATGAGCGAATTTCTCGCGGTAATCATTTTTTAATGCGAGAAAAGAAAAAAATATGCGAGATTCTCGCGTTCTCGCGCTGTAGTGAAAACACTGATGATAATTCTTCATACATTTTCATTCTTCTTCATTCATTAGATATTTTTATTTTTTGAAATCTAGTGAGTTATTCAAATATAATTAATTAAGGCTGTGGGACATGCACTTAGATATTATAAGTAAACATGCATCCTTCTTACCGCTTAGCCAAGCCAATTTTATTTTAATATCTTACACTGATGATAATGTTTAATTACAGGATTGAAACAGCTGTACATCTTTTATTATCTTTGTTTATAACATTTTGTTTATTCCGACACAAACATCTTCCATCGTGATCAAAGTAATACTGATTTGGTAATACTGATACCCCCCAACTGATTTGGAATAACTTTTTTAATAGAAGATATTTCTTTCATCTGTGACTTAACAACAAGTCACATGTTCACTGTTTTTCCAAGCGTAGAACCTTCAAAATGAATTAAAAGGTCAGATTTTGCTGTCCTTCATAATTTGCCTTATTTTTAACATAAACTTTTTTAAGCTAATTTTTTCAAAATTTGAAAAAAAGAAATACTTTTACCAAGTGAAAATTATTACAAAGAACTTTAACCCATTGTTTTTCATGCGTCCATTTGTAAACTAATGTTAGAGTTGTGGGATACGAACAAATGCTGGTAAACTTAAAAGAGAAAATAGCCTAAATTTTTTATTTTATTACCGTCGTCGAACAGCCGACCCAAATTCCGTTTTTCCGACCACTGATGTTCGACTCCGTAGCCTAGTAATTTTGAGCCAAATCCAGAAGGTAAGGGAACTCATAGATAAAGTATTGTGAGAAATTTGCCTTTGTGGTGAACTTTTTGATAGAACTAGCTCGCATTTGCGTATGTGGAGTTTAAAATCACGAAGTCCACATTTGCATAGAGTGTAAAACCACGAAGACCTCACAACAAGAGGACTCTGACACATGATTCGCCTACCACTTAGTGTCTTTTACGTCAGAACTGTTTTCGGTGCAAGCCGAATGTGGAATTCGTATCAACTAACCATCACCTCATTGGAAGGTGAACGTTCTATCCCCTGAGCCATCACGGCATTAAAAAATTTACAGAATTATATATTTAATGGGAATAAGCCTATTTATTTATTTGAACACCTTTTTTTCAGCACAAACAATAAATTTTTAACATTTGCAAAATATTGTTCATTTTTTTCCCTCTTTTTTTTGCTAGTGAAAGTGAATACAGATAGTTCAAGGCACAAATGTTTGTACTCGCTAAGAATCCATTTCATTGGTATCACTTCTTCAGCTTCTGCAACAAGGATTTTCAACTAATGCATAAACATTAAAAATATTATTAGAGACATTTTTCCAAAACTGTAATCTTATTTTCTTATCTTAACTTAACATCAAAAGTTTTCTTCTCAAAACCATTAAATGTTACTAAAATATCTGAGCAAAGAAAGAGTTCTAGTTTCAAAATTGATGTAACAGTGCATTATTAACATTATATGAATATCATTTGTCTCAGGGCTATTTAGACAAGATATGTATGCGGGTCAAGGTTTGATTGTACTTCTTTGGTGTTACATTTTCTATTGAGTATTTTAACTATAAATTCATATTGTTGATATTTCTCTAGTATCGATAAAAAGTTTTCTAATGTTTTTATTTAACTATTGCATATTGATGTGTAGTTATTATTTATTTTCATTCAATGTATGGTTGACTAAATGTTATAATGTAAGCTACCTAAAACCAGGAGAAATTTAGAAAACTTCCGATGCATCCCTCCGCTTATGTTGTGCTTACGAGGCAATGTGTGAACAGGTTTAATATTCCGCGAAGTTTGTTACGAGTTGTGATTTGGGTTTAAATTTGCACTTTATTTTACCATTTGTAAAATTTTTCTGTAATTTTTAAATTCAAAAATGTCTCAAGCTTAAAACAAATTTAACAAAGTTAATTTCGCAGCATAAATAAAATGCAAGGTTTGCCATGTCCTTTATTTGGGTAGCATTAAAACAAGCTTGCGGAGTTTTCCAATTGCTAATTGTTTCATTGAAAGTTAAATTGAAAAAACGTGTTGTAATGAAAACATTACAAGTATAATTAAAAGTGAATGGTGCAGTTTTTTCAAGATTAGACATAAATAGTAACCAAGAAGTCTAACGGCAAGTTTTACCCCCCTCCCGTTGGCCCAGTCTGCGCTTGGCTTTATGTGGTATAGCCAGACAGAAATTTAATTAAAAAATGAACTTCCTTAATTGACATTTCTGGTAGGCTATTCATTAATTTTTTAGTAAGAAAAAAAATTGACACAAATGATTATTAGGAATGATTTAAATCAGGTGTGGAGTNGATATTAATATGTGATAAATTTTTATTTTAGTTTTATTGGTATAAACATTTATTGGGTATTAATTTATAAATAGTCAAAAGAAAGTGGTTTATGGGAAACTATCTCTCTTAAGTTAAGATATCCTATAATTCCACCTCATTGGTTCAAATTGAAAAAAAATTGTCTCAAGTATGTTTTATTTTAAAATTTTCTATTTATAGAACATAAATTTAAATTAGAATGTGAAACTTTTTAAATTGTTTTACTTTTTAAAAGCTGTCTCATAAAAGATGCCACAAAGTATCACTCTTAACTGTAACCTCTATCCCCTATTCTCATATTACGTCTATTATATTACATAAACATTTAGTGGCATATTATATTACATCTGTTATATTACCATGGCTGCCAACTGTCCAGAATTTTTCGGATTTGTTCCTAATTTTTAAATCAAATCTGATATTTTTATAAAAAATCCGAATTTTCGTAAAATTTCAGTAATTTTGCTTTTAAACCAATCCCTTGTTCTGATTGCCGCAATCGCGCTTCCTGTGATTATTGTGCAGAAGTAATTTTTAGTAGCTTTTTATTGGAAAATACTATTCCAATAGCTGTTGCTGATCATTTCACTAAATTGAATCTTAAACAACTATTATTATTTTTTAAAAAATGTGTTGTAGTATTTAAACATTTGCATCAGAAATATTTGTTTATGATGTTGTTTAATATTTACTTGTGTTTTATAATTTGGAGAAAAATAAGTATATATTAATAAGCAATGGTTGTTTTTTTAAACTATTATACCAGTATTCCGAATTGTAAAATATTAATAATATAAATTTCCGAGGAAAGATAGTGTTTAAAAATTTTTTTACTAATTTACATAAGGTATTTAAATAATATTAATTATTTAATAGTTACATTTTTGTCTTACTCTCATAATTGGTGCATATAATAATTACTCTCATAATTGGTGCATATATAGTGTTCCTAATTTTTGATTCCTAAGGTTGGCAGCTATGTATTACATAAACATTTAGGAACCAATCATTATGCTATAGATCATATTTCAAATTTTATTTTTAAACTTTGACTGTATTTTTTTATTGATATTTGTAAACATAATAATTATTATAAGTGTACTTGTTTTGATGAATTTGTTGATTTTTATTTTAACCAAAATATGACTCCTTGTTACTTCTCTCCTCCAAGTCTAACATCATTTATGGTAAGCGTCTTAAAAATTTTAAGATTTTATGTTTTATTTTTTCAAAAACACAAAATCTACTGCCAGATCAACGTTAAAATCAATTGGTAATATTATATTACTTAAATCATCATTTCAAGGAAAAACTTCATATACCAACTTGCCCATCTTGCTTTTTGGTCTTTTTATGTTCTTTAATAATCCAGAAAGCTTTTATGTTTGTTGTATACACTATATTGTACACCCTTTAATGAATAAATGTGACTTGTGTGAAAAAGCATATTAA